GTCAGAGACATTTTTAAACACCCCCAGTGCACCAGGCTGTGCAGGGAGGCTGCTGTTCTTCCCAGCCCTCCCAAAGCCAAGCCTTAAAGACAGCAGCACCAAGTTACAGCAAACACCGTTGACCCACTTCACTCTGATGAGATATTTATGAATCCTTTTCCCAATCTGTTCGCTACTCCCCACATCCCTCCCTCCCCGCCGCCCCAGCCCTGGATTAAACATTTCCCTCTCCAACAAGCCTTTTGAATCTTGACGTGGAGAGCGTCAGATGCTGGAAGTATTTTAACAGCAGCTTCAAATCGCTGCCAGAGGGGGAGATTTGCCAGCAAAGCCTCCGCTCCGTGGCTGCGTCAGTGCTGCGGCTGCACCGAGACCCAGCGCTCTCGACGTCTGTCCAGCTGGTTCTGGCGATGACCAAAACTGGAACCATCCCCCCCGCACAGCCCCTAGAGCGTGGCCAGCCTCGCAGGACCCTACTCCTTGTTCCCTGTGCCGCCGAGACCCGTCACCTCTCTCCTAGCCTTCAGAGGTTGGGTTATACCTGACACCAAGGCAAGGGGTGGGAACAGGACGGGCTTCTGTAGCCCCAGCAAAACTGGCTTTGCCTTACACCAGCAAAGGGAACGGCTACGGGGTACAGGCCCTGGGCAGCCCCGGTGGGTCACCAACTGTACAGACATGGAGCAAAGTCCTGGTTTGCCACACAAGTGCCCGTGTCCTCTCCAAAGGCTGCCCTGCCACAGCCGGGCCATGCCCCCCACGCAGGTGACGCAGCATTGCGCAGCCCTGCCGCCAGCCCCGATACACTCTCCACACCAGCATGAGCCCAGAAAAAGGCTAAACAGCTTTTTTTCTACACCATGACCTCTGCAGATGACATCTGAGCCAAGTGTCACATCTGCAAGCCACGCTCGTCCTGACCGCAAGGATCTCACTGGGATGGACACGGCAGACATTTTATTCTGAGAGATGGAGGCGACATTGCAGAGACACACCATACTCCTGCCAAGGGCTTTACTTTCTTTTTTTTTTTTTTTCTTTTTTTTTTTTTTTTTTTTTTAAACCAAACCACAGCTCTAACCTATACTGTTCAGGCACTCTGCCCGTACACAGCCACGTACATTGCAAAAAACGTACTCCAGATTTTTCTTCTGTTGTCTTCTCACCCTATGTGAAAATAAAGCAATAAGAACCCTGAGAAATGGTAAACCTGGCTGACTCTGCCCTCAAACCTGCAGCGCTGAGGGAAGGATGGCTTGCTGCTGTTTCAGCCTGTCCTCAAGCAGACCCACAGTGAGCTCCTGTTGCACATTTCTTGCTGCACCACCTGCAAAAGCTCTGTCCAGGGCACCTCGCAGGCACAAACCCAGCAGCTTCTCTGCAGCAACGCAGGCTGAATAGCACTTGCAGCTCGGTTCAGCTTCCTGCCCACAACTCTATTAAAAAATACACAGGCTGCTGCCAAAAAACCCGCAACCAAGCCCACTCCTTCCCTCCTCCATCAGAGTGTTCACCACACAGTCCCAAAAGGGCAAATCATCACCCAGACTCCGCGTTGCCTGGCACTCTGTGCTGGCAACAGACAAAACCAACACAAACTCCTTTTTCATGCTTTGGCTCACAGCTGCCCCAAAAGATGGCAGAAATCAGGAATGCATTATCAAAACAGCTTTGGGAAATGGAAAATCATCTCAAACTCTCCCCAGTGGCGCCAGTCACTGGCTCTGACTGGTGTCTGTAGGGCTGGACACCAAATTACACCCGGTGTGGACCCAACCTGCCGTCAGCGGGAGAATTCACACATGGCAGGGCCATACAACCTGACCAGTTACCTGTTCAAGTGCCACCAACCCTTGTGATGCAGCTGGACCAGCTGCACTCTCAGCCACAGTTTACAGCAGAGCTGTTTCTAGAATTAAAGAGAATCTGAAAATACTTTGCTGAGATTACGTCGGAAATACCCTTCTGCTGCAAAATCTGGCTTCTCAGGGTCATAACACAGTGCATGGGCCCCCAGAGAGGGACTCATAAATAAAACAATTCCAGAGCACCCCACTTTGCTGTGCTGTCTTAGCTTTATTCCTGGGTTTGAGCCTCCCCTCAGACATAGAATCAAATACTGGTTTTCCACTTTACAGTTCCATTTTTTGTAGTGGAACAAGACTGTAGCTTTTACCCTTCAAAAATCACAAGGCATTGGATCTTAAGCCTCTCCCCAACAGGACTGAGCATCACTCGCCCTAAGACAGAAAATTAAGGGAACAAATGAAAGGATTTTCAGCCAGGATGACTTTTTTTCCCCCATGACAGCTATTTGGCAGGACACTGGACCGAAGCACTGGAGTAGTTTCAACAGGGAGCGATTCAGGAGACTCAGTGGAAGATGCACAGCCAGCAACACAAACCACAGAGCCTTAACCCACAAGCATGACCTCTCACAGGCAGGCATCCAGGGGCATCCTGCATCCCAGGCTGCTGTGCCACCCCCTGCACCCCACCCTCAGCACCCCCGCCATGTCCTGCCTTTTGCCACACTCAGCATTTTGCAAACACACCCATTTTGTTTCTTCATAATGCTTTTCCAGCCCTCCCAGAGCCAGCAATTCAATGCCAGCAGCTCTGTGACGCTGGAGACAAGCTGCTACACCGAAAAGTGGCACATCCCTTCCTGGGGACGGGTGGGCACCTCCTGTGAGATCAGGAGGGAGGCCACCAGAACCCAAAAACCCCAGTGGAAGCTGGCCCAGCAGCTTCCTGTTGCAGCCCAGCTATTGAAAAGGTAGTTATCACCCTTCCAACCACAGCTTCATAGCTCAGCATCAGTGACACCCCCTCCTCCATCACCAGGAGTTCTGCACCACTTTCAGCTCTGCTCAGCCACTCTCCCAGAGAGCTGCTTGCTCCAGGAAGGAGGTTACTGCCCCCCCCCAAAACGCTCAGGTCTCCCCAGGGTGCAGTGATTCCCCACAACATCCATCCTAATACCCAGGCTGGGGCCATGGGGCAGGTCTCGGGTCTCTGCTCAGCATTGGGTCTGCAATGCCACCTCGGGAATAGCATCACGGCAAGGTCAGCAGGTCTTTCAGGCCTCCTCTGCCTCATGGAGAAAGATGAACAACTCGGTCCTCTCCTCCACAAAGCCCTGCTCTTCATGCTCAGCCTGCCAGCACTTGGGAAATTGCCTTAAGCCAAGGGGGCAGATGCTTCCAGTTTGGGGTGCTGCTCCCCAAGAAGCCAGGAGCTGGTACCAAGATGCAGAAGGCTGATGTCCTTTCTAACAGATCAGTGCTTTTAAGGTCTCTCCCTGACAGTCAGTGGGTCCTGTATCTCTCTCACGTAATATCCACAAGCAAAAAAGATGGGAGGGGGTCAGCTCCAACCCAGTGAAACTTCCCCAACCACTGCACTAAGCAGCAGCAAATTTAACAGCCCCCTCTATAGCTTATGGGCACGCTGATTAACCCGTCCCTTCAGCCAAAGCAGGACTGCACCAGGCTCTTGCAGCATCACCCTCCTTTGTGGCTCAGCTGGGACCAGCAAAAAGATTTCAGAGGCAATTCTGCATGTGCAGAGCCAGGTCCCGAATCTGCCAGCCCAAAGATCTGCAGACATCAGCCTGAAAACTGTTGCTTCACGGCTGAAATGTAAGAAGTCACTGCAGGCAGACAAGGGGCCAATTCGGCACGAGGCAGTGACCTTCCAGCTCCTGGCACGCTCTGGGGTGAAGCCCATCGCTCACCTTGTGCCGCAAAACCAGAGTGTGCTCCCTCTCCCTCCCTGCAGGGAGCTGGGAAGGAGCTGGGGAAGGATGGCCAAAGCGCTGCCAGCACAGAAATGCTCTCTCAGAGAGCTCCATCCCTCCTCTCCGTCCTGTCTGCCTGCCCCCATGCCCGATCAAGGATGGGGAGAGCGCGCCAGGCAGCCTGGCAGCAGAGGGGATGGATGCAGAGGGATGAATATCTGCATTTAGGGAAATTATGGATTTTCTTCCCCCATCCTGTCACAGTATCACAGGGTTAGAGGCTGGTGCTGAGCACCGTGGCTGAGGAAAAAAGAAGATGGAAAACGCTGAAGGTCAAACCTGTGAAGGTCAGACTTTTGGAGGTCAGTCCTGAGATGGAGCAGCGAGCTCAATCCAGCATAATCCATCCTCCCTCTCCTGACAGCATCCTGCCCAAGCTCCACCCAGGAAAACGGGGCTGCGTCGGGCAGGGCTTCCTCTTCTTGCCCCAATGCCAAAGTTTCACCAGGCTCACCTTGATTCAGGAATAAAAATCCTCTTCCTTCCCACCCCCAACCCTACCAGAAGCTACCAGACAGTCACGGAGAACTGAGCAGGAACAGGGAACCTGATCAACAGGTCTCTGCAAACATACAGGGTGCGGATGAACACAGATGCACAGAGAGGCAGGAACATCAGACTGAAAAGGTGGATACATCCCCCCCATTTCCCCCCCGCCATGCATTTCATCCCTGGAAGCACACACCTTGAAACAGGGGCCCCGGGCTGGCATCCTCTTTCCTCCCACTCATTTGGTGCTATCTTCTCCCCTAGCTTAAAATCACCACTGTTGCCTGCCATCTCTCTCCATTTTGGTCTTTTTGGGGCAGATTTCCCCTCATGAGCACCTTTCCAGCACAAGCCAAGGGTCATATCAAAGGATACCCCTTTGATATCAAAGCCCCCCTGCCTGACAGAACAATTCCTCAGCTTGGGAAAGGGGAAGACTAAGAGCCGGGGCTGCCGGCTGCTCCTGGCTGTGCTTGCCTCCTGCCTCAGGATCGACAGCAATTAAACAGTCATTAAACCCACCCAGGCAGAGCGAAGGGCAAACAAATACCACTGCCCATGCAGATGGGAAAGGAAACGCAGCTTGAAACCGGATCAAAACCTTTCAGGGAGGTGCCTGGGTTTTCCTGCCACGGCTGGGAGGTTTTCACTGGGATTCTGCTTCCCTTCCTCCCTCCCGGCAGCCCCGTTTCCGGCACATGGCCGGCTCCGCTTCTCCATCCCCAGATCCTTTTTGCCCCACCAAACCCCAGGGCTGCTGCCTCCCGCCTCGCTGAGGCCACGGGGGCTGTTGGCAGCAGCCAGCCCAGCTCGGAGCAGGCAAGAACAGCACATCCCACAAAGGCAGCGGAAGAGATTTTTGCGGAAGGGATCGCAAGGACGCAGGAGTCAGCGGGCAGGCAGGCTCCCACGCGCTTGCGTTTGCAGAAATGCCTTCTCCAGCTGCCTGACCTTCAAGGAGAAGGCTGGGGTGGGAAGGGAGCTGCTTGGGGAGGGGGCAGCCATCCTCACTGCGCTCATTTTAGGTTTAAAAAAAAATAAAAATGCTGTTGTCTATTAACAGGGAGATCTGCGTGGGTCCGTGCTCCCGAGCCAGCTGGCATGGCAGCCCCTGGCCTCCAGCCCAGGCAGCTGTGAGGAGGCAGACACTCACCTTGACCAGGTAGATCTGCTTCTCTCTTTTTCTCTGTCCCCCCGAGCAGGAACGCTGCCTGTCTCTCCACCAACAGCTATGGACCCCCGGCAGCTCTTCCCCTCGCCCCCCCGGGTGCCAGCCTGCATGGAGGAAAGCAGCAGCCCTTACCTTCTGTCTGTCCTCTGGCCAGCTGCACGAGTCACACCTTGGGAACTGGCTCTTGCGCAGAGAGGAGGGAGGGAGGAAGGCAGAGGAAAGGGGTGGGGGAAAACTTGGGAGTTTCCCACAATGCAACTCTGCAGACTGCATGAAGATGGAGAAGGGGGGTGGGGGGTAGACAGCGCTCCAATCCGGAGGGAAGGGTTAGGACAAGGATACCAAAGGTGGAGGGGGAGGCTGGCAGGGCGGCTAAGGCAGGCCAGCTGCATCTCCACATCCCCTGTTCTTCGGGGCTGAGCCATGGGGATTGGGGGCTGTCCCTGCAGCCTTGAGCCCCCGCCTGCTTCAGCTCGCTTGCTTCTCCAAATCCTGCCTGGGATGGCAGCGATTGCAGTGAATATAGCCACAGAGAGAGGGGGAATATACTGGGGAGGGGGTCAACCTGATAAACTGGGATGTTTGTGGAGAAAATAAAAGGAATGTAGGGCTCCCCCGCCTCTGAGGCTAAGGGATTTCTAGGTGTGACAATCCCCCAGCAGTGAGCTCAGGGGGCTGCAATCTGTCTTGCCAAGGAGAAGCTCTGCAGAGTAGAGGGAAGAAGCTAAAACGCTGCGCCTTGGGGTAGTTTTGTGCCAGCTCTACTTCCCTTCTCCCTAGACCCTCCTTTGTCCCAGCGGGCCGGGGTCTGACTCCCCTTACCCATGTCCTGCGAGGGATTGAGAGCCGCCCAGGGCTGGCTCGGAGCTGGGCACGCAGCCCGGGTCCCGCTGCGGAGTGCTGCCAGACACCCAGCCAGGCTGTGCCAGACACACAGCCTCCTCCTTAGCCACACTGGAGCTTCTCAGCGCCTTGGTTAAAAGCAAACAGCCCTCCCTGTCACAGCCTCACCCCCTCCAGTCAGGTGCACGTCTCAAATTCGCAGCACTCAGGTCAAATCTTGCCTGTACCCAAAACTGCAGCCAGGCCCTGCGACCACCTAGAGCTCTTTTAACCCAATTTTCTCAGGAAATAAGGGCTATGTGATCCTTGCCCATCTTTCTCCATACAGTTACTTGGCACCCACTGAGCAGCTTCATGCAATTTTTAGAAAGTGTAGACATCTTAAGGAGATTATACTCCAAAAATCCACAAGAAACCAACTTTGCCAGCTTAACCAATCGCAGAATAACTTACTTTACTTCTGTGGCCACTGTGTTTTCCTCCCTCCCATAAACAGTAGCCAAGCAACAGCTCAACCACAAACACAGTTGGTGCAGTAGGGCAGAAAGTCCAGAGAAAAATCAGTATTTTCTTCCTTGACCCTCTCTGACTCTGCCAAACTGCACACAAGAGCCACGCTGGTGTGCATCTTGCCTGTGCCAACATGCTTAAAAATACTCAGGCTGCTTAAATCGCACTGTAAAAAAAAAAAAAAAAAAAAAAAAAAAAAAAAAAAGAGAGAAATAAATAAATTCTGCCTGTGTTTGAAGGAAATGACAAAAAACATGAGGGTTAGGTGTGGGAACCCATATCTCCCAGCAAAGGCTGTGTTTTGAGGGGCTGGTTTCGGATGCAGCTACCAAGACTCCCTTGGAGCAGGGATGAGCAAGGTTATCTGGATGTAGTTCTCGGCTTCCAGCGCCTTCTTGGCTCAGGCAGGATTATCTGTGGCCAATGCTGGTGTCCCCTCTGCTGCCTGTCTGGTCCCGCACTCAGCGGTGCCAGCCCTCCCCGCTCTGTTAGGGACTTGTGCCAGGCACAGCCAAAACCTTCAGTGGCTGCAAACAGCTTCTCCCCCCTCCCTAACGCCTCCCAAATCTGCTGATCTACCGACAGCAGCAGAGAGGGGCTAAGGTTCTGCAAAGCTTGTGAAAAATCTGATTTAATGCAGGAGAGACACCCAAACCACTGCTCTCCAGAGCCCGGCACAGGACTCGTAAAACCTTTTTGCCGCTTCTACATCAGGCAGAAATATCCTCGGCCTCTGTGCAGCCTCTCAACACAGTAGGAGGAGGGATGGAGCCTCCTGCGAGCAGAAATTGCTGGCTCCAGTCCCCAGAGCCTAGATGAGCTGAGGCTGAGGGTTCCGGCTGCAATTTCCTTGCATTCATGCATGCTGCCTCTGCCTTAGGAGATAAACAGCCCCACATGATACATTCCTATGCTTTAGACTTTTGGAATCTGTATTATATGCCTCCGATTTTGAATTTTTAAAATGTTTTCAGCAACATAGAAAAAAAGGAAGCAAAGGAAAGGAGCTGTAAAACCAATAACCTCACCCCCTCCCACTGCAGGGAGAAGAAGAAGCCAGGAAAGCAGCACCAGAGCTGGGCAGCGCTCAGAAATCCCCTGGCACCAAGCACGTGAAGGGTCCCCTGCGGCAAGTGGGTCACATCACCCCGAAGGCAGCGCGGGAGAGAGCAGAGCGCCGGCGCAGGCACAGCAAGCAGCAATTCAGTTCAAGACACAGCAAGGTGAAAACAGCTTCTTCAAGGTCAGATGGAGAGGGGAACCTTTAGAAACCGTGCTGCTGGATTTTTCTTCCTCCTCCCTCTGGGCTCACGGCACACCCCAGGATGAATTAGCAGGGGTAAGAGCAGCCCTGGCTCCTGGGGAGCCCCCTGCAAGCCCTGCTGGGGTGGGGGGTGTTGGGGGCAGCAGCATCCTTGGGAAGGAACACGGTGTGCCCTGCACTTTCAGAGAGAAACGCTTGTTCCCAGACTTACTCCATGCCCTGCAAGCAGGAAGGGCAGGATGATGGCAGGTGCTGAGCAGGGAAACTGAGCTAGAGAGATAACAGCTCAGCCCATGGTGCCACAGAGCCAGGCTCATTTTGGGGCCTGTGAAGACCTGAATGGACATTGTTGGGGTTCAACCAGATCCCCGTTAGCTCTGCCCTGCCCTCAGTGTCCTATTCCCTTGCAGCAGGAGCTACTCAGCAGGGACCCCACAAGCCTCACCAAGTAACTGCACCATTTGCAAGTGGGCTGCCAAGAACTTACCAATAAATCTATTTTTCCCACCTTCTTAAACTCCCAATGTGCCTTAAAACATCTTTCCCCCTTTCCCTGCATCCCTCAAAGGCAGCTTTGCTAAACACAACCCCCTGAAGCATTTTCTTTTCCACCATGCCCCATAAAAAAGCCAGCCCCAGGCAAGCTGGAGGCAGTCAACAGCCTCAGCTGGAAAATCCCCCTCCCTGTGCCCCAGTCCCAGCTCCTCAGTCCCCATCCCCTCCTCACCATGGGTTTACCCCCTCCCAACTAAGACACACAAACTCTGTTCATAAACTGGAGCATGAAAAGCAGGAGAGCAGCTCACAGAATGGACTTACACCCATTTCACCCCAGGCATCAGAAACCCCCAAAGGAGCCTCTCTCCTTTCCTAGAGCCCCAGCTCCAACCCACCCAGCGCTGGAGAGGGAGGAAAAGGCTACACAGCAGCAAAAACCCCCTGGCCCGTTGGGCAGCAGCCATTTCTCCTTACCACTGCACTTCCAGGGAAGTGGGATGAAGGACATTTCTCACGGCAGAGTGGCTTGCTACTGCAGCCAAGGGGGGTTTGCAGTTAGTGCAGCAGCTGAAGCACTGCCTGGCTAAACACCCTGTGCAAAAAGTCCTTACGGAGAAAATACAAGCCCACCTGCCCCTGAGGAGCTTTTAATAACCTCAAAGCCCTGAGCAGCATCACCTGGAACCCTGACCTGCCCACGCACTGCCCAGGGCCCCTGGGCTTTGCTTAAGCTCAGCCCTGGGCACTTGTTCTCCCCATATCCCTTCTCCTGTCCGGGCTCTGAGATGGCTCTTAGGTCTGTGTTGGGGCTGTGGTTTTGGTCCCATCTCCTACACAGCCCTTGTCCCTGTGCTGTGGCTTGTCCCTAGGCCAGGCTCTGGCTCCATCTCCTGACTCAGGTCCCCAGGGGCACCCCAGGTTTGGTGCATCCCTCCCCCCCCCATTCCAGCCCTGCTCACCCAGCGCGCACTCTGATCCCCCAGCCTCACCCAGCAGAGGCTTTTCCAACAGTTTCCTCCTGGCAATGCTAAGTTTATTTATGGTATTGTTCAATTTCACTCATAATTCACATAATTAGCTAGCTCTGCAATAATAATATTTACTTACAAGCATTCTAGCTCTACAGTATTTTGCAATCATCATCAATAAAATTTTGCAAATGTGTAAGTGCAGTGAACTGTACAGCAGGGTGCATTAAGAGGTACAGTACAGGATTTCTATAAGACTTCATCCTTTAAAAAGTTTTTCCATCCTTTAAAAAGTTTATCCCTTAACCTGACAGCAGTAGTATATATTCATCTCCCCATATAATTTCCAGCTGGCTAAAATGTTTACCTTTAGCATAGCAAGATTATAGTTGATATATTTATATATATATATATATTATGTATATATGCTTTATTCTTTCAGCCTTTAACTAATCAAATACTGATATTAACATAATCACTGTCCACAAAGACATGCAATGGGTTCCACTTGGAGAGTTTGTCTCTTAATAATGTCTGTAACAGCCTGCACTCTATTTGGAGTGACTTTTTTTTCTTTTTTGATGGTTTCCCCACTACTTGCTCTTCTGCTCTATTAATAACAGCGCAGAGGACTATTTTTAGCTTGCTTCTATCTGGTGCTCCCATTGATGAAGCTTACCTTTGGTTTGTTGCTGGGTTCTTTGAAAAGGACACTTGCACCCATACCCAACAACTGCAGTTGGATTTGCTCTCCATAGTGCAGCCTGCGCCTGGTTTGGTCAGGGCAGGGCTGCTCCTTGTAATCTCCGTACAGCATCTCCCTATCCATCCACATCAGTGTTGATGACACTGCTGCCGAATTCCCCTAAAACCTGGGAGGGGTGTGAGTAGATGGGACTGCAAGGGTGGAAGCCTCAAAGCCCAGCCCAGGCTGTTGGGGAGTTTTGGGTCCAGACCCTGGAGCAGACTCAGGTCACACACTGCTGGTACCCACTCTGCTTTCCTGCTCCCTTCGAACCAGCAGAAGGGGAAATTCCTGCTGAAAGGTGCTTTCCCAGCGCTGGGCATTTTACTGCAGGGGCTTTTTGAGCAGCTTCTTTCCACCTGAGTTAGGGCATCATCACATCCTGAGCTCCACTTCCACTCCAGAGTTTTAATCGGTGATTCCCACAATGGTCTGCAGGTACCAGCAAAGTTATGGATGTGCTTCTATCAGAAATTAAATCTTCCTAGTGGTGTTCTCAGCTGGGCTTCGCCACGAAAAGCCTGTATTTCATGCAAAGCTTTAACCACGCTTGTACCTATTGGTCTTCCTGGTTTACCAGTTATAATTCCCCCAGTAGTTAACCTCAGCTTGCACTAATGGTGCCAACATCAAATTGATTTCAAATCCTCTATGGTCTACTAATTTTAAAATCTGGATATCTTTCACCTCTTCAGTAGCTCCAGTCACTGTAATATCAGCCACACAAGATGTTTTTTCTTTATCCTCTGGAGACAATAGTTTGAACAGCTTTCCAACATGAGCCTGTACCCGCGGGTGCATTGTGAAGCCCCAGTGGTACCTGTGCGAGGGTTTATTCCCTCTCTCCAAATGCAAAAGCAAATCTGAAAATTGATTTTTCAGCAAGTGGGATGGCAAAGAAACGGTTGGATCTATGACTGGAATCCACTTGTTGTTTTCTAGTAACTTAGCAATATTCACCGGCGTGTTCACTAAACTAGGAGCTGTTCTTATGGGGAATGCAGTTTTTTGGCAGTACTCCACCGGCATTTCCCAAGGTTTCCTATTAGCCTTTCTAATGGGCTACAGTAGAAAATTATATGGGTTTGTAATTTCTTAAGAAAGTTGTTTAAAATAATCCTTTATGATTTCACCCAGAGCAGTCTCAGCTTCTTTAGGATATGAGTATTCGTATGAGGGACTGGAAGGTCCCACTAGTTCAGTTGGGGCAGCGGGTTTTACACAGTGGGGTTTTCTGCCACCCTCCTGTGGTGGCTCTTTCCATTGTTCTTTATCTGTCTCCATCAAAGCTTATATCTGTCCTTTCACCCTTTATAACGGCATTTGTCTGGTTTCCGTATTACTGACACAAAAATCTCACCATAAAAATCCAGTAAGAGCCCACAGTCCATCCTCCAATCGCTTTCTAAAATGCAGGGATCTTCACTGCTGCATCAAAAGCCCAGCGGTACCCTCAGATCTCCCAGGTACAAGCCCAGGGGGGCCCGCAGGTGCCGGGTTGTTTGGCACACAGCCCTGTTCGTGGATGCAATGCCGGGTCGAAGCCAACTTCCTCGCGGCTGACTTTGGCCAGCCGGGCAGTGGCAGAGGCACAGGAGCATCACCGTGTCCTGCTACTGCTCCAGCAAATCCCATATTTCCTTCCCACCCCATTTTGTCACAGCTTCTCCTAAATTCTCTAATGTCCTCCAGCGCCCTTAACACCTTTGATCCATTTTTTTCCTGATGTACTACCCCTGCCACTGCCCTTTCCCAAACATCCCCTACACCTCTGCTCTGGTGTCTAACCCCACTCATTACTGAAAGCCTCAGGTCCTTTTTGGCCCATGTTAAATTCTCCTGTTTTCTCCTGAACCCAGGCCATGATTACTAGAACCGCTCTGTTTGATCTCTACCAGCTGAGCCCAGGGAGGCTTCCCTGCGCTTGGGCAGGGAGTTCCCGTGACCCATCACCAGAGCCGCCCGTGCCTCGCCAGCAAAGGGCTGGTGGGGTAGCATATCACATCCCACTGGCATCTTAGCAATTCTGCATTGGTTCAGAAAAACCTTCTCCATCTTCTCCCAGTTTCTGGACCCATCTTTGTGCTGCTGGTTTCCTACCTACCTGCTGGGCAATCTGACAATGCTCTCAGCAAGAAGGGAATATACTGGTCCCTTAGTGTACGTCAGAGCAAAGGCTGGTGTAGCACAAGCTCTAAGCACTGAGTTATTTAATTTCCATTCCATCCAAAGCTTGAAGACATTTCTAGAAGTGCCATGTTCCAATCCATGACGCTGCTTTATTTTTGCAGTCTCACAGGCCCTGGGATAGCTGTTACTCTGGGACAGCGACTGCCGTTCCCAACTCCACTTTTCTTTCCTTTTCATATATTTCACCCCAATAATCCTCTCCCTCTGACAGCTCCCAGTCTAATTCTCCATTTCCTGCAGCTATTTTTAATTTCTCTATGCTACTCTGCTTTTGCAAGCACCTAAATTTAGTTTCATGTTGCCTGTGATAGGGTTCCATTAGGGGTCCCACTTGCTCCAGGGTGAAAGGTGCAGCAGGCAGAAATCCCCGCAGGAAACTGCAGCTTCCCTCTGATTTCCTGAATTTACAGGAAACTACTTCCAGCCGCATCTGTTCCCGGAGAGCTGCGGGATGCTACTTGTCTCCTAAAGACACAAGAGACTGGAAATGGGGAAGAGAACAGTGATATCAGAAATAAGGAGTCCCGAAGAGGGAGGAGGAGAAGGCTCTGTGACTTTTCTTACCAAGACATGCCCAGTAAAAGGCTCGGGGATCCTGAGCGAAGCGGTTACTCTGGAAGGGTTAGAAACTCAGGGGCTCTGTGGTTTTTCAGTCAAACCCACAACGTGTTGTGAGGAGGAGGGTGAGCTGCCAGCACCAGGCAGGCGAGAGGCAGGAGAGGGGGTGCAGCGCCTGCGAGCATCGGTGCACTTTCCTAAAGCTGCCTTTTCTCCCCTCAAACAGATTCTTCCTTGTGGGCTTATTGCTGGGAGTCCTTCGGGTATTAAACTGCCCATCCGGGTGGTTTTACAGAGGCCAGCGGAGTTGCCCAGTGGCAGGGAAGGAGGAAGCGTGTGCCGGATGTTGGGCTGCTGTTGAAAAGCAAAACCCTGCCTGTACGCAGGAGAGGGATTTCAGGCAGCGCCCGAGCCCTTCCGGCAGAGCCCCGGCAGCGCGGCGAGGGCATCGCGGCACAGCCGGCCACGCTGCGCCGAGGGACGGCACCGGAGGGGACCTGGGGCCCGGGCTGTCCCCACGGGCGACTCTGCCCCGAGGGGCTGCAGCTCCTAGTCTGGTTACAACCCCCCCCCAGGATGCTTTTTGGGGTGTTTTTCTCTCTCCTGTGTCTCATCCACTCGGTGCCGGATCCTGCAGCGCCCACAGCCCATGTGACCTTGCCACGCTGGGGTGACTCTCCCCACCCTTCCCAGCGCAGGAAGAACCAGTCGGTACAGGGCAAACGTGGTGCCCAGCTCCAAAACCTCTTGCCATGGCGTAGCCATGATTTCTAACCGTTAGGTATTTTCAGGTGACATCCTGTGATGGCAGGGGAAGAATGTGCATTAGCTGTCCTCTTACAAGTGCTGCAAGGTCTCACGCTTAAAGACTTCCAGGAGTTTAAGTTGAAGTTATCAGAGGTTCACGTGGAAGGAGGATGGAATATCCCCAAGGATTTGCTGACGAAGGCCGCCCACCCTTGCGCCCTTGTCAGCTGCATGGGCAAGACCTACAGCAAAGACACCGCGATGGACATAGCGATTGGGTTGTTCGAAGAGATGAATCAGAGAGACCTCGCTGAGAAACTCCTGGCTGAGAAGGTGAAAGGTAGGGAGTCAGCGTCCATTTCACTTTTCTTTCTCTCTTTTTCCCTTGAGTAATCCTGGGGACAAGTAGAAGTTGGTAGGAAGAAGGTTTTGGCTTCCCATGGAGCCTGGAAACACAAAGATGTCCCGCTGTGACCCTATTAGTGTGGGGGCTGTAGAGACCTCTCCTCTTGCTGTCCCCATTTACTGCCGGGCTCCCCCTTCTCCTGGAAAAGAGCCTTCAGCTCTCAGCATCCTCCCAGGATGGGGATTAAGGACATCTCTGCAGAGCTCACATTTGTTAACGCTTTGGAGATGGAAACATCCCCACGGACGGTGACTTTGGCCCCAGGGGTGCGAGCAGAGGGGGATGGAGGCTGCAGGTGGCAATTGCATTTGCTCCCAGGGTGGGTGAGGATTGCAGGGTGGCTAAAACAGGGGTTGATGGATCAGGATGATGGGGGGGACCCAGGAGAGGAGAAGGACACCCCCCCCAACTGACCAGAAGCCCTAAATTCTTGCAGACAGTGTCCTTACTGCCTCTGCCAGACTTAGGAAAGCCCTGAGTGTAGAAACAAGCGTCCCGTTGGTGTGTTGGGAATGTGGTTGGGTTGGGTAGGAGCTGTTTGGGAATCCGGCTGTGCTCGGGACTGACTCTGCTTCTCGCCGGAGCAGAGTACAAGCAGAAATACAGAGAGCACGTGGTCCGGGAGTTCCTCCGGTACAAAGATGTGAACTCTTGTCTCGGGGACAATCTGTCAGTCAGCAGCCGCTACACCGCCCTGACCATCACCAGGAAGCCTCGGAGCAAGCATGGGGGCAAGCACGAAGCCATGGGCACCGGCTGCGGAGGTGCCGATGGCAGCAAGGGACCTGCCACCATCACCGTCACCACGCAAACGCTGTTTAAACCCGGCGAAGATGGGCAAACGCCGCAGGTCGTGGTGCTGGTGGGGGCCCCGGGGATGGGGAAGACGATGACGGTCAGGAAGATGATGGTGGAGTGGGTGGAAGGGACCGCCTATGCGCAGTTTGACTATGTCTTCTGCATTGACTGTAAAGGCATTGCCTTTACCAAGGAAGCGAGCGTGGCAGACCTGGTTTCAAAGTGCTGCCCTCACAGGCGAACACCAGCCAGGAAGATCCTGGATGACCAGAAAAAGATCCTGTTCATTTTTGATGGTTTTGAGGCCCTGGGGTTTTCCTTGGTTCGGCCCGAAGATGAGCTGAGCTCTGACCCCAAGGAAGTGAAGCCGCTGGAAATCACCCTGATGAGCTTGTTGAAGAAGACCGTTCTCCCCGAGTCCTCCTTGCTCATCACCACAAGGCCGACAGCTCTTCAAAGCCTGGGGCAGTGCCTGGAGGGTGAGTATTATGCAGAAATACTGGGATTTTCAGCAGCCATGAGGGAGGAATATTTCCACAGGTATTTTGAGGACAACAATAAAGCTGATGTGGCCTTCAGGTTTGCCAGAGGCAACGAGATCCTCTGCAGTTTGTGTGTCATCCCCATCATGAGCTGGACCGTCTGCACCATCCTTGAACAAGAGCTTAAAAAGAAGAAAAACCTCATCGAGTGCTCTAAAGTCACCACGTGGATGAGCGTGTTTTACCTCTCCTGGTTAATGAAGTGCAGAAGCAAGGACAACCCGCAGGACCTCCAGCGGTTCCTACACAAGCTTTGCTCCTTGGCTGCCAACGGCATCTGGAAGCACAAGGTCCTCTTTGAGGAGACAGAAGTCAAGGGCTGTGGCTTGGACCAGCCAGACCTTCTCCCTCTCTTCCTCAATGAGAAGATATCAAAGAAAGGTGAAGACCATGGGAACACCTACAGCTTCACCCACCTGCACCTCCAGGAGTTTTTTGCAGCGATGTTTTATGTCCTGGAGGACCATGAGGAAATGGTCGGTGACTCGGGGACTCTTGTGAAGGATGTAAATATATTGTTAGAAAACTATAACGAGTCCAGGAATGATTTGAACTTAACAGTGCGATTCCTGTTTGGTCTGTTAAGCCCAAAATTGATAGAGTACGCAGACAAAAGCATCGGGTGTAGAATTTCACCACGAGCCAGGGAAGATATGCTGAGGTGGCTCCAGGGGAGGCACAAAAACATCCCCCATCCCAGCCAAGCGCTTAAGGTTTCAGAGTTGGATACTTTCCACTTTTTGTTCGAGATGAACGAGAAGACCTTTGCACAAAGGGCGTTGGATCGTTTCACGGCCATAGACTTGCAGGACATCAAGGTGACCCTGTACGACCAAATGGCTCTTTCCTTCTGCATCAGGCAGTGGGCTGGGCTGGGCTGCGTCACGCTCCGGGGATGCTCCTTCGACCAGCAGGATCCCGGGGAGGAGCTGGTCACGGCCGTGCCTCGGTAAGTACTGCCCTTCGCTGCTCTAGTGACCCAAAATCACAAAGATTTCTCCTTCTCCACCCCAAAGGATGGGTTTAAAAGCATTTCAGCTCTTTCCACCCAAAGGCCAGCTTGTCCTTTCCCTGGGGGTTTAGTTCCTGAGGGGAGGATTTTACTCATTCTTGTGGGAGAATAAGGATCACGCGGGCTCCTTCATCCGCTGCATGCGGTGGGATTGACGGAGATGGAGCATCTCACCTCAACTTCCCCAGCCCGAACGGCCCCGCTGTGCCCGGGTGTCGCTCTGGCTTCGCATCGCGGAGGGGGGAGATCCCTGGGCGCCGAAATATTAAGTTCTCCCCGAGTTTTGCTTGAGAGCAGATGACTCCAGCGGCAACGCTCATGATCCTTCTTATCTCCGAAGCCAGGGAGGTCCCTCCCAAGGAGGCGGCCCATGAGCTGGCATCAAGCTCTTCTTGAGGGGGTGGGTTGCGTGGGGCGTGGAAGCCGGTGAGGGCTGCCCATGCCCCCCCCTTCCCCGGGGCTCTGTCTCCCCGCAGCTCCAGCGCCTCAGGAGCCAGAGGACGTCCCCGTCCCCTCGCTGAGGAGCCGCCTTCCCCCATCCAGCCGCTCTGCCGGGCGCTGCGGCACCCGGGCAGCGCCCTGCGGGTGCTCCGGTACGGGGGCTGGGGGGGTGCTGACGGGCGGTGGGTGCGCTGAGCCACCCCGGCTGGCTCTGGGGTGCGGGTGGGGGCACCCAAACCATTGGGGAAGGGGTGGGTGCTGCCCTGGGTGGAGGGGACAGATGCACCCATCTCTCCTGGGGACCACCAGTGGCTGGGGGGGGTGGGGCTGGGCCCCATTGGCTGCAGGGGTGTGTGTGTGGGGGGGGGGGGGGTTGGACACACCAAGCTGATTGGCTGTGGGGTGGGTGGGGTGGGTGTGGTCCCTCCACACTGATTGGCTGGAGGGGTGGGGGGGTTGTGTGGCTCCTCAGTGCTGATTGGTCCTGGAATGGGGGGGGTAGTTCCCCCGTGCTGATTGGCTGAGTGGTGAGTGGGGTGTGGTCCCTCTGTGCTGGTTGGTTGTGGGGGGCGGGTGGGTGTGGTCCTTACACGCTGATTGGCTGGGGGGGGGGGGGGGGCTGATGGTTGTGGTCCCTACACACTGATTGGTCCTGCCGTGGGTGAAGGGAGGGGGGGGTATTTCCTCCATGCTGATTGGCTGTGTGGTAAGTGGGGTGTGGTCCCTCCATGCTGATTGGCCACGTGATGGGTCGGTGGGAGCCCTCCATGCTGATTAGCCATACAGTGGGTGGGCGTGCCCCCACCCCTCCGCCGACTGGGGGCTTGTGTGATGAGCCCATCGGTTCTCTGCGGCTCTACCCACAGGCTGCAGTGGTGCGGGCTGTCGGAGAGCTGCTGTGCGGCGCTGGCGGCACTGGTGGCCGAACACCCCAGCCTGGCCCGGCTGGAACTGGGTGACGGCGCACTGGGCGACGGCGGCGTGCGCCTGCTCTGCGGGGGGCTGCAGCAGCCCAGCTGCCGCCTGCGTGTCCTGCGGTAAGCAGCCCCCCTGGCACCCACAGGCATCCCTCGTCACCCCTTGGGCATCCCCCAGCTCCGCTTGGGCATCCCCCCAGTACCCTCGGGCATCCCCCAGCACCCCTTGGGTATCCCCCAGCACCCTCGAGCATCCCCCGGCACCCTCAGGCAGTCCTTGGCACCCATGGGGCATCCCTCGTCACCCCTTGGACATCCCCCAGCACCCTCAGGCATCCCCCAGCTCCCCTTAGGCATCCCCCCATTACCCTCGGGCATCCCCCCCAGCACCCTTGGGCATCCCCAAGCACCTTCTGGCATCCCTTGGCACCCCACAGGCATCCCCCAGCACCCTTGGGCATCCTCCAGCACCCCACAAGCATCCCTTGGCACCCTCAGGCATCCCTTGGCACCCTCAAGCATCCTCTGGCACCCGGCAGGCATCTCCCAGGCAGCCAAACCCACGGGGTGGAGCGGAGGGCTGGGGCGGTACCCCAAAAAGTCCCTCTGGGGTGGCTTCGTCCCTCTGTCCCACTCTCCCAGGGCGAGCAGCTGGAAAGCAGCCGCCCCAGCGTAGCGACCGCTACCATGGTGGGGTGACATGGGGGAGGGGGCTTGGGCTGGCTCTGAGGGTCTTTCCCGCGGGTCCCCGGCAGGCTGTGGTACTCCCGCCTCACCAGCGCCTGCTGCGAGGACCTGGCCGCTGTGCTGGGCACCAGCCCGCAACTGGAGGAGCTGGATTTGTCCTTCAGCGAGGGGCTGCGCGATGCCGGCGTGCAGCTGCTGTGCCAGGGGCTCCGGCACCGCTCCTGCCAGCTGCGGACGCTGCGGTAAGAGCCCGCGGGGTTGCCCAGCGTTTCCCGCTTCCCACCCGGAGCACCTCGCCAACCATCCGGATGCAACCCCATGACCTTCTTCGCTTTGATCCTGCAGGCTGGGGAGCTGCCGGCTGACGGGCGCCTGCTGCCAAGCCCTGGTCTCTGGGCTGGTGGAGAACCCTCACCTCACCTCCCTGGACCTGAGCGACAATGAGCTGGGAGCTCCCGGCATCCTGCAGCTCTGCCAGCAGCTCCGGCATCCCGCCTGCCCGCTGCAGGCCCTGGGGTAAGATGCCACTTCCATCCCTGGCATCCCCGCACCAGCACCCCCGGGGTTGGATGCTGCAGGGCAGGGAGGGGGATACCCGCATCCTGGTGCCCAGGAGAGCAGAAAAGGTTGGGTTTTGTTTTTGTTTTTTTTTTTTTTTTTTTAACAACTCTTCTTTTCTTCCTCTATTTAAAGACTGAGCACGTCTGGGTTAAATGAGGAAGCGCTGCAGGAGCTGGCCGCGCTCCAGGCACTGAAGCCTGACCTGAAGGTCGGGTACCTCCTTGAGCACGACCCGCCGCAGACGGGGGCCATGGCCCGGCTGCCCTTCCACCGCGGGGTCCTGCCGGGCGCGGGGGGGCCGGGGGGCAGGAAGGGGCTCCCCTCCTTTAGGAGAGGTGCTCCCAACAGCCGGAGCCACTTCTAACCCGGTTCTCTCCGCTGTTGAAAGGGGGTGGGGGGAGCCACACGTGGGGGCACAGGGGGTCCTGCTTGCATCTGCTGGGGGTTGGGACAGAGCTGTTCCAAATTCTTCCCTCTCCCATTCCCCCACACGTGTCATTGGGAATAAGTTGTGGGTGTTTACCGATGCCAAATAAAAACCCTAGAGCCAGGAATCCCCCCCCGGTGCTCTTCCGTCCTCCCTCCTGTCCCTGCCATGCCCGGGGATGTGTCTGTGGGTCCAGCTCCTGCCCCACATCCCCAAGGGATGGCTGATGTACCCGGGAGTGAGGTGCCAGCCCTGGAAGCAAATCTCCAGCCAGTTTGGGGTTTTAATAGAAAAGAGAAATTCACAATGAAATTAAAAAAAAAAAAAAAAAAAATCCCTGTGGCGCCTGCTCGCAGGAGGGGCACAAGGGCTGGTTTGCTGCTGTGCCGTGGTCCTGGGCAGGGAGAGGTGACCTCCGTGGCCAGGGCCACTCCACCTTGGGGACAGAGCCCTGCCATCCTGAACGCATGTCCCCAGGGAACCCTGCAGCGTGGCCTGGGCACCCTCACAGTGATGTCCTCAGAGTGCCAACGGCAGCATCGTCATAGTCTGTGTCCTCCAGGGGCTGTGCCAGGGGGTCCTTTGAGGCTCCTGGGGGGCTTGGAGGGGGGCATCTCCCACCTTAGGGGACAGCAAAGGCCAGTGCCTTAGGGGGACTGCTTTGTGTCCCTCTTGCCGGACCCCAGCTGGGGTCTTGCCACAGCCCCCGTGGATTTGCTGCCTGCTCCCTGCTCGCCATCACAGCCAAGCCCCCGCCAGGGGTGGCTCTCCAGGGGACAGGGCGGCTGTGGCCCCTCTTACCTGTGGGTAGGACACAGCCCGAGCTCCTCTGTGCCACCCCCTCGGAGATGTCCCCCGTGTTGGGAGCGTGGAACTCTTCCAGCACAGCCACAGCATCGTCATAACCATCCGGGGGGCCGTGCTGGGCTGGGGAATGTGACGGGCAAGGGGGTGAACTGGAGGCCGTGGTGGGAGGCTGGTTGTGCCACCCCCAGCCTTCAGACATGCCACTGGGGATGTACTGGTGGCACTGGGGCTGTAAGCCCTCAGCCAGAGCCACAGCAGGGATTAATGAGCAGGGAAAGGTGACGCTTTGCTGCACGCTAATGAGAGCCGCAGCTGAGCTGGGCTCACCCTGGCATGGGGGGACTGTGTCCCCTCTGCGCCCCAGCCCCGGTGCCCAGCCTTGTCCCCTCTCCCCAGGCCTCCCCACCAGGTTCCTGCCCCCATTTCCCTACCTGGGGCTGCCTTGGGGTCACTCTCCTCCATGCTGTCCCCGGTATAATACGGCAGCTTCATCCTCAACCTCTCTGACAGGGAACCTGGTGGGGGGAGGATGGGGTGTTGGGGGTGACTGGTGGGCAAAGCGTGGCTGCCGTGGGACCAGGGGACACCCCCACACCATGGGGACAAACTGGTGCCACACCACCAGGACCCGGTGCTGCAGTGGAGCCATGGCGCAGATCCCCCCACCTCCCCCAACTCCCAGCTTTGGGGGGAGCCACTGGGCACAGTGAGGCTGCACCGACCTGAGTGGGTGAGCTCCTCCTGGTACTCCACTATCATGGTGTAGTCCAGCTCCTCGTAGACACCATCAGAGACAGCGTCTGCGGCTCTGTCATGGCCTGAAATGACCGTGGGTCACCCGCTGCCCATCCTCTGAGCTGCCCTGAGGAGGGGGAGCCACCGAGACCCGTCCCCAAAGCAGCTCTTCCCCGGCACCCACCCACCAGGACCCACCTTGGCACTGAGCTCGGGCACGGCACGCCTGCACGGCCAGGGCACCCAGGGCCAGGCACAGCAGCGTCCCCAGGACCACGCACAGGACCATGGGCACCGACACGGTCCTCACTGGTGCTACTGGGGTGCTCTTGCTGGGGACATCTGTGGGGACATCATCCAGCAGTGTGAGGAAGGGGGGGACCCCAGGCAGCCCGGCGCGGGGGGGCTGCCAGCATGGGCAGAGCTACCTGTGCAAGTGGCACCGTCTGGGCAGCGGCTTCCCGGGGACGGGGTGGGTGTCCCACTCGTGCTGTCACCATCCTCATCACAAGCGACGTGGGCATCCCCGCCGGGGCTGCAGGACTGCAGGTGCCAGGGTGCCGAGGGGCACCGCCAAAACGAGCGGGTCCCTTCCTCGCAGCCCACCCAGGCCAGCCAGGCGGGGACCAAGTCCTGGGCTGGAGCGGTCGCCAGCTTCCCCCGGTTCCCGCAGCCCAGTTCCTGGCAGACGGCGGCGGCCGTGGCGGGGCTGGTGCCGTTGGCACACACGCGGCCCCAGGTGCCGTTGTAGAACACCTCCAGGTGCCCGCTGCACCGGGCGCTGCTGCCCACCAGCCGCAGGGATTGCTGCTCTGCAAGGAGGTATGGGGGGAGTCACAGCCTCTTCCCTGCAGCAGGATGGTTCCCCCTGATTAGGAGAAGGGGGCATGACACTGACCTGAGCAAACAGCTGCCCCGCCGCCGCGCTGGCAGCTGTGCCGTGCCGAGGCCGGGCAATCCCAAAGAGACTCCTCGGTCCCGGCACAGCTACCAGCATCCAGCCACAGCGGCCCCATGCCGGGACCGAAGTGAGCCGGGCCAGGTGCCGCCAGCGCCATTCCGCAGCCCAGCTGGCGGCAGACGACGGTGGCATCGAGGATGTCCCAGGTTTCCTGGCAGACGGTGCCCCAGGTGCCATTGATGTAGACTTCCACCCTCCCAGTGCAGCGCCGGGGGCTGCCCGCCAGCCTCACCTGCCGGCTGCCTGCGGGGCAAGGGGAAGGGGGGGACCGGGCTGGGATGGCAGCCCACGGTGCCGGCAAACCCCCCAGCCCTTCCCGGGACACTCACCCGAGCAGACAACAGCCACCTCCTCGGGGCTGCCAGTTGGCGTGGCCGTCGTCACCAAGATGTTGTACTGGGTCAGGTTCTCCTTGGCGTCAGCAAACCGCAACCCCACGCTGCCCGAGCTCGGCACAGTGTAGACCTTCTCTGGCACGCCACAGCCCAGCTCCTGGCACACCGTGCTGGCACCCCAGGTGTTCCCCAACCCCGCTGGCACACGGGCCCAGGTCCCGGGGCTTGCAGCGACCTCCAGCCGCCCGTCGCACCGGCTCTCGCCCTCCACCAGCCGCAGGGGTTTGGCAATGCCTGTAAAATCCCCGGCGCTGCCATGGGGCCGTGGCACCAGCAGCATCGGACCCCTGAGGGGATGGCAGAACCCCAGCTCAGCCCTCCCCCCGCGACAACCCTGTGTCCCCTGCTCCCAATTTTTAGGGTGTCCCAAAAAGCCTCTTGAGGCTTTTCCTGGAGGGTGCCAGACAGACCTGAGCAGTTGACAGCAGCGGTGTGGCCAGGGGGGCAGGCGGGCTCCCCCAGCACTGCCGTGGGGCACTCGCCAGGATGCCGCTCGCTCCCACGGCAGCGGAAGGTGTCCCGCCACAGCGGCCCGTCCCCCATACCGAAGGAGCCTCCCGGGGGCACGGTGACGGCGGGACCACAGCCGAGATGGTGGCAGAGGACGTGGGCGTCGAGCAGGTCCCAGCCGGTGGCACACAGAGACCCCCATGTCCCCCTCATCTCCACCTCCACCCGCCCGGCACAGTCCGAGTTGTTGTCTGCCAGCCGGAAACCTGTGTAGGCTGCGGCAGAGGAAGGGTGTTGGCGGGGTTGCGGGGGGACACACACACAACGGTGTGGGGACCCCCCCACCTCCGGCATCCCCAGCACTTACGGGAGCAGATGACACTGGCGTGGCCAGTGCACCCCTGCCTGGGGGACGGCTGCCGGGCGCAGGTGGCGAGGAGGGTCTCAGTGCCGGTGCACTTGAACCCTGCCTCCCAGAGCGGCCCCGTGTCCCCCCCAAACCGGCTGGAGACAGGGACGGGCAGCACGGTGCCGCAGCCCAGCTCCCGGCAGACCACCTCGGCAGCCTTGATGTCCACATCGTCCTCGCAGACGCTGGTCCAGGCTCGGCCCCGCCGCACCTCCAGCCTCCCGGCGCAGGCGCTGTCACCGCCGACCAACCGGGCAAACCCTGCCGGGAGTCATGCGGGGTTGGTGGAGGTGGGATGTGCCAGAACCCACGCGTCCCCCCTCGACGTCCCATCACCCGGCTCCCACCTTGGCAGACGACAGCGGTGTCGAATTCGTGGATGCCCAGGTAGGGCCCCCAGCCATGGATCTCACAGTCCCAGAGCGTGGCCTCGTCCCCGCGGCAGTTGACCACAGCCAGGCTGCTGGCACCGTCCCCTTTGCCGAAGAGGGCGATGGCGCTGGTGCCGTAGATGTGGGTGGCTGAGCCGCAGCCCAGCTGCTGGCACACCACCTCGGCATCCTCCATGTCCCAGTTGTCATCCACCACCGAGCCCCAGTGTCCCTGCAGCTTCACTTCCACCCTCCCGGCGCAGGGATGCCCCCCAGCTGCCAGTCTCAGCTCCACCGCCCCTGCACCGGGGCACCGGCACGGCCTCAGCCCTGCCCAGGGATGTCCCAGCACATGGCGGGCGGCCCAGCATGGCCACCAGCCCCTCTCCCCACCGCCTCACCTGTGCAGATCACCCCCACGTCCCACTTGTGGCCGCAGAAATGTTGTCCCCATCCGAAATGGGGACAGTCCTGCAGCATCAACTCATCGCCCCGGCAGAAGAAGGGATGGAGCCAAATCCGGCCGGTGCCCTGCCCGAACAGGGCGTAGGGGGATGCCTTGGCCACCGAGCCGCAGCCCAGTTGCCGACACACAACAGTAGCCCACTCGGCATCCCTGTCGAAGTCGTAGACGCAGACGGAGCCCCACTCGCCGTCATGTTTCACCTCCACCCTGCCGGCGCAGCGCCCGCCGCCGTCCACCAGTCGCAGCTCCCCGGTGCCTGCGGCGAGGAGGGTGCTGAGCCCGGCGTGGGGTCCCTGCCCCACCGCTTCCCCCACCCCAGTGCTCACCCCCGCAGAGCTGCACGCACAGGAGAAGCCCCAGCACCGTGACAGGTACCATCCTGCCGTCCCAGACCCCTCGCCGTGGGGCTGGGGAGGGGGATATATAGGCAGCACCGTAGCCGGGAGCCAATGGAGGCAGCAGCACCTTTTGAGCCGTTATCAGGCGGGTTATCTCCCGGCTGACGGGGCCCCGGCCTCCAATAACCTGCTCCATGCCCAAATATGAGGCTCAGCTCCGCTTCTGGCGTCACACACCTCGTCATGGTGGGTCGGCGCCCGGATGTCCCCAAATGGGACCCAGCCCCCACCACCCACCCCTCTACCTCCAGCGCACCCAGCGCTGGCATGGGTGACATCCCAGTCTCGATAGTGATGGGATTCACCCCCAAACCTCCCAAAGCCTCCACAGGGCCGCCCTCAGCGCCGGCACCGGGGCAAAACCCAAAGACCCCAACACACCAGCGCCCATCCTTGGGGTGCTGCCCTCCCTAGGCTGCTTAGAGACCCCGGGGAGGGGGGCACCGAGGTGAAAGCAGCCCCCCTCCCCAGGCTCCCTGTGGTGTTTGCAGGTGGCACATCCCTGGCCCCTCGCCGAAAGCTGCGGCACATGGCGGTGCCGCCCGGCAGCTGCGTCTTGTGGCACGGGCAGGAAGGAGGCAGTTTTCCCCCCCACTCCCTGCCCCCCCAAAAATGGGGACCCAGTGTCGGCATTGACCGCACGCAGCTCCTCAGCCACCTGCAACACCGGGCACATGGCCACGGTGACACCGGGGGGGGGGGACGGGGACGGGACACACCCACTTGGTTAAGCCAGGACTAAACACCAGCAAAAACCGACAGGTGCAGGAGGTTGAAGGGAGTAGGAGCTCCCATGAGGTCTTGGTGGCGAGGATGAGGATGGGACCGAGCCCCCCACAGCCACGGGCCCAGGTGGCCACGACAGGACACAGAGCAGGGTGAGGAGGAGGCGATGTGGCAGGGAAAGGCAGCAGCTGCGCAAGCTCAGGGAAAGCCACCAAAACCACCGTAACTGCCCCAAATTGTGACGGGGGGGGGGGCGGAAGGGCCCAGCGAGCCGGGGCAGGTGGCCCGGGAGGTGTGTGTGTGGGAGGGCGGGGACTGCGGTGGCACAGCTGCAGGGCAACCTGAGCATCACCGCCACATGCCACCGGGAGGGGGGGGGGGACCTGCCACCTGCAAACCGTCCCCGTTCGTTGTCATCCTGGGATGGCTCGCCCCCCCCCCCCCCCCCCCCGCCCCGCCGGTGCCACGCGGGATGTCCCCTCACGGCGTGGGCGTGAGGATGCCACGTCTCCCTCTTTGTCCGAGGGGATGGAGACCCCGCCGGGGCTGGTGGGAATGGGCAGCGCGGTTTCGGTGTCCCCCCCGGGATGTGGGGGGGTGTGACCGTCACCGCGCGTTCCAGGGACACCGGGAGCACCCCCGCACCCCACCCCGTGGCTTTTCCAAGGGCGTGGCCGGAGGATTTTATTCCGCGATCCCCAATTTGTCTCGTCACGGAGCGCCCAGAGCATGGCGAGGTGGGGGGGGGGGGGGGGGGAACCGGGGGCGGCCCCGCCCACCGTCCTCCCCGCCAGCAGGGGGCGCCGCCGCGCGGCCGCGCCACTCCGGAAAGATCCGAACGGCGGCGGAGGCGGGCGGAGGCGGCGAGAAAGGGGGAAAAGGAGAAGGGGGGGGGGAAAAGGATGGCGCAGGAGATCGAGCGGCTGCGGGCGGACGGCGTGTACAAGGAGGTGCTGCGGGAAGGCACCGGACCGCTGCCCGACTTCCGCGACGGCACCAAGGTCAGAGCCGCCGCCTCCGGGGCTGAGGGGGGTGGAAATGAGGCGAGGTGCGCATGCGCCCCCCCCTCCAGCGTCGCCATGGTGACGCCGCGGCCTACCTTCCCCGCCTCAGGCCACTTTCCACTACCGGACGCTGCGGTGCGGGGATGAGGAGGCGCCGTTGGACGACAGCCGGGCGCGGGGGAAGCCCATGGAGCTGATCGCCGGCAAGAAGTTCAAGCTGCCGGTGTGGGAGGCGGCGCTGAGAACCATGCGGCCGGGGGAGCGGGCCCGCTTCCGCTGCGACGCTAAGGTGGGGGCGAGGGGCGGTGCGGCGTGGGGGCGTGGTTTGGCGCTGGGGGCGTGGTGTGACGATTTGGGGGCGGGGCCCGCGCTTAAAGGGCGTGGGGTGATGGTTTGTGGGTGAGGGCCCGCACTTTGGGGGCGTGGTGTGTTGATGGGGGGGCGTGGTGTGATGGGGGCGTGGTGTGATGGGGGCGTGGTGTGATGGGGGCGTGGTGTGTTGATGGGGGGGCGTGGTGTGTTGATGGGGGGCGTGGTGTGTTGGTGGGGGCGTGGTGTGTTGGTGGGGGCGTGGTGTGTTGGTGGGGGCGTGGTGTGTTGGTGGGGGCGTGGTGTATTGGCTTGGGGGCGGGGCGTGATCGTTTGGGGGCGGAGCCCGTGCTTAGGAGGCGTGGTGCGTTGGTTTGGGGGCGGATCCCACCCTTATGGGGCGTGGTGTGCTAGGTTTGGGGGCGGAGCCCGTGATTAGGGGGCGTGGTGTGTGCTTGTCTGGGGGCGGGGCCTGAACTCAGGGGGCGGGGCCGCTCTCCCTTGGTGGCACTGGGGTGCGAAGCCAGGAGCGTCCCCGTCCCCCCCCGCTCCCCGTCCCAGCGCCGTCTCCCCCCGGCCCCCACAGCACGTGGTGCTCTACCCACTGGTGTCCAAGAGCCTGCGCAACATCGCGGCGGGGAAGGACCCGCTGGAGGGGCAGCGGCACTGCTGCAGCATTGCCCAGCTGCACGAGCACTACTCCCTGGGCTACCCCGACCTCGACGAGCTCCAGAAGAACCCCCAACCCCTCATCTTCGACATCGAGGTGCTCAAGGTGAGGCACCCGCTTGCTTCAGTGTGGGGAGGGGTGGCCGTGGCTCCCCCCACTCCCAGCCCTGTGCCAGGGGGGTGCTCGGGGGTGGTGGCTGTGCCCTCATGTCGGGGTGCCGGCAGGTGGAGGCACCCGGCTCCTACCAGCAGGACCCATGGGCCATGACAGATGAGGAGAAGCTGCAAGCCGTACCCCAGATCCACAAAGAGGGCAACGAGCTGTACCGGCAGGGCAAGGTGCAGGAGGCAGCTGCCAAATACTACGATGCCATCGCCTGTCTCAAGAACCTGCAGATGAAGGTGGGGCTCCCCCAGCCCTTCTCTGGGGTGCACACAGCTCTCCCCACATCCCTCCCCGCGAGCTTCCCCTCACTCTCCCCTTTCTGTCTCATCCTTCAGGAGCAGCCCGGCTCGCCAGACTGGATCGAGCTCGACCAGAAGATCACCCCTCTGCTGTTAAATTACTGCCAATGCAAACTGCAGTGCGAGGAGTACTACGAGGTGCTGGATCACTGCTCCTCCATCCTCAACAAATACGAGGGTAAGGAACCGCAGGGGTTGCCGAGGGGGCACCGGTGAGGCCCCCAGCCCCCAACCCAGCCCCTCTCTCCCCACAGACAACGTCAAGGCCTACTTCAAGCGGGGGAAGGCCCACGCGGCGGTGTGGAACGTGGCAGAGGCGCAGGCTGACTTTGCCAAAGTGCTGGCCCTCGACCCCTCGCTGCGCCCCGTCGTCTCCAAGGAGCTGCGGAGCCTGGAAGCCCGCCTGCGCGAGAAGGACGCCGAGGACAAGATCCGCTTCAAGGGCATCTTCTCACAGTAGAGCCCCCGGCTCTCTGACCAGGTTCTTCTAGATATTCCACATGTGGAATGTTCAGCGGACGTTTATTAATGTTTAATACAAGTTTTACTTATTTGAAGTGGCCCGGGAGCCCGCCACGGCCCGGTGACACGGCAGTGCACTTAAGTCGCAGTATTAAGCAGCGTCTAGCAATCGCAGCGCCCGGGTGAAGCGCGATCTAAAGGTGAAACTCCTCACCGGGCTGCAGGCTACACTCATCGTCACGCCAGGAAGGGAGGCGGAGGGGTGACACGAGCTCCAACCCGCTGCTCTCTGCCACCTTCTTTTAGTCATTGTTTGATGTTTTTATACTTTATGTTGGGCTGAGCCACCGCACCCCGGGGCTGGCCAAGCTGTTTGGGGCTGCAGTGCCAAGTCTCAGCCCCAGCTCTTCCCCCTTCGTGCCTGTACTCCGCACCCCGTCCTGCATCGTCACTTCTCAAGGCTGCTGCTATCATCCCAAGCCCGTGTTTCCTCTATACTACGTCGTCATCCCAGCGTCGTAAATATTTTATATAGAATAACTGCTTGTTACACCTATCTATATAAAACTCTGGTCATGCTATGTCAAGATAAACAAAAGTAAAACTAGACACAGGCACCTAGTCACTCAGAAAAATCGCTGTTAGAGGTAAATGAGGTAAAACAAAGGTGGGGGCAGGCCAGGAACAGGGAGCCTGGCAAGCCCTGGCCCTGCGGCCTTGCAAACTCATGGCAAAACTGAGCCCTTGCTCTGCTAAGCACTCCCGCTGTCGTGGTTGTGTTACAGCTGCTGAACGACTGTTCCAAAGCGTAGAGCCAAGAAGACTCTCCATCCTGGGGCTCACGGTGTAAAAGCAGCTTTAATGCGCACAGGGGGTGCCCCCCACACCGCTGCAGCACCCCAAACCCCACGGAGCCCTCAGCCCGTGCCCAGCCTGAAGGTGACAGCGGGGTGGCCAAGCTGGTGGCTTTCCTCCTGCCCCCACAGCTCCTCCATCCCTCCCTTGACGCCGCGCCTGTCCATGTGCAAAAGGTTTAACCGCCCACGCGATGAGCGGCTTGAAGTTAGCCTCAGTACATACCCAAGCGCGGGGGTGCAGCCCAGAGCTGTAGTTCCCAGCAGGGACAGTCTTTTCCCTGCCCCTGATGTGTCCTGACCCAACCACTGTGCCCCAAGGCCACCTCCCAGCGTGACACCGTGGCCCTGGGTCCGTGGCTGGGTGGGAACAGAGCGGACACGGGGGCCTCGGCACCTCATCTTTACATCGCTTTTATTTCACACCAAAATGAACAGAGGAACTGCTTTTGAACCCTGGCCCTTCCCCTGCCCTGCGGCTGGCGACACCAAATGGCAATAAATAGGTGGGGGAGGTGGGGAGCAGGGAGGTGCCGCTTGCTCTGGAGAGTAGCCACGGCCCCCCAACACCGCCCTGGACCGATGACCCCGGGTTGGGGCAGCACACCAGCTCCCCAGGGGCAAACCCCACCAGGCACTGCCCAGCAGCAGCTCTGCAGCCCCAAAGGACGGGGAGGGGGGATGGGGTAGCAGGGTGGAGGCAGAGCTGGGGGGCAGTGGGGGGGTAGGGGGTAGCTCAGCCCCCAGGGGATCGCTCTGGCCCTCGGCGGGGCCTGGAGTGCCATCTCCAGGGTCCCTCACTTTCAGGGGACCCAGCACCCTCAGCTCCTTCCTCGGGGCTCGGGGCCCAGCACAGGCTCTGGCCCCAGGTGCTCCTGGCTGGGAAATGAAGGCTGCAGTGGAGGTGGGGGGGACAGTGGGCACACACCCCCCTCCCCCTCACTCCTCACCCTCCAGCTTGAGGCTGACGCTGCGGGGTTTGGCCCGGGGCAGCCCGGGGGGTGCTGACGGGGGCCCTCCATCGCGCTCCACCTGGCTGGAGCCCCGCGATCGCAGGAGCTGGCTCTGCTTGCGGAGGAAGTCGACGGGTGCCGGGCAGCCGTAGGTGCCTTTGCCCAGCACGGGGCGCGGGGGTCCCTTGGGGGAGTGGGCCAGGGCCACTGCTTCCAGCTGGGCCAGGTGGGCTACGTAACCCTCGGAGAGGAACTGCGGGACAGACGGACAGCCTGAGCAGGCAGCCCCAGCCTTCACCTGCTCCCTCCATCCCCTGTGGGGTCAGCAGTTGTCCCCTGCAGCCCCGTCCTGTCCCCCAGCCCCACCAACGTACCTGGCACTGGTTGTGGAACTTCTTGACGGCCCGGCCCACGATGTAGATGTGTGCCGGCGCGAGCCCCAGTGAGCTGTAGACGGAGACGTCCTTGGTGGAGCCGTAACCGGCGACGATGGTGATCTCTGCCTGCCCACGGATGGGAGCATTAGGGCAGGGAGCGACCCTTCCCACGGGGACAGCCACCCCCAGGGGACTGGGACAGCCTCACTGCAATGCCCATGGGGTGGGAGCTGCCCCTCTGTGTCCTGAGAGAGGGGGCCAACCCTGAGCATCTCCACACCCAGCTCCACTGACCCCCCAGGACAGTGACAGGCACAGCCCACGCTCCCCCCTCCACCATCAGCCCCACGTCCCCTGCCCCGCAGCGTCCCCGGCCCCACCTCAGTGCGCAGGCTCTGCAGGAAAGCGGCTTTCTGGCGCAGGGGGTCGTGGGTGAGCCCATCGCAGAAGGAGACGGCGCCGTGGGGGAAGTTGTGCTGGGAAAGCCAGGCCACCACACGATGCTTCTGCATGTCGGGGCGCCCCGTCACATAGATGATCATGTAGCCCGAGTCCTGCCAGTGCCTAGGAGGGGACATGCATTGCTGCCAGGAGCCCATGCGGGGACAGTCCTGCCGGTGGGAAGCCACCAAGCATCTCCCAACACAATCACACACAGGTGCTCCCTCCAAAACCTTCCTCCTCCCAGGGATTTTATCAAGGCTGAGCTGCAGGGTATCACAGGAGGCTCCAGGACCAAACCCAGGAGCGGACTGTTTTCCCCACAAGCAGGCACCAGCGCAGAGCTGCTGTAAAAACTCTGTGGACAAGTGGGCGGCAGGAGATCCCCCAGCTCATCCCAGGGAAGGCAGCCTGCTCCGCTGTCCCCGCTACCTCAAACCAGGTTGTCACTTGTCCCCCCCCTTATTTGAAGGGCACCTACCGTACGACATCAACAGCCCCCGCCCGCACTTTGGGGTCACTGCCCATGATGGAGACACTGGCGGTGAAGGAGCCATCGATGCTGAACACAACCGACTCGGTGCCTGGGGCCACCACCGTCAGGTACGCCTCGGCGTAGCTGTGGTCCCCCCTGGGCCAGGAGAGGGGGGAGGCTCAGGGAAGGCTCTGCCATGGCAGAGAGGGGGGACAGGAAGACCTCTGCCAAAAAAGGCTGGAGGGGGAACGGAGGTGGCACCACACACCCGCACCTCACCTGACCACCATGCGCACGGGGTAGATGCCAATGGCCAGAGCCTTGTCCGGAGGGATGGTGAAGGTCAGGCGCCCGCTGCCGCTCGTCACCTCGGTGCCGTAGTACAGCCACTTCCCCGACAGTGGCTGCGTCATGATGTAGATGTCCACCTGGATGGGAAAAGGGCTGAGCATGGACCGAACCTCCAGATCCTGCCGTGTCCCCAACCTATAAAGCCTTTACAACCCTCTTCCCACATCCCCCAAGGTCCGACGGGGTCCTGTTCACCGCCTCCCTTCCCCTGTTGTGGGTGACACCAGCCCCATGCCCCCTCCCGGACACCCCCACCCTGTTTGATGGGGTCGTGGTGGCACCCACGAGTACCTTCTCCCCGGTCAGCGTCACCACATCCAGGGGCCCGTACATGAAGCGCCCGCTGAGGACCTGTGCTTTGCCCTCGCACACGATCACATCACTGGCCCGGTGGTTAGCCGTCACGTTCTGCAGGGACACGGGAGGGGCGGGGAGGGGGGGACACAGTAGCTTGTGCCAGGGTCACGGGTGGCACCCGAGGGAGCCCCTGAGGGGGCACACGGGCCCCACCGAGCTGTGGGACCATCCTGGCATCCTCCTGGCTGATGGGAGCAAACCCTCCCAGCCACATCGCCCCACAACCAGGGTCTGCCCAGGCACCCGGGGATTGCTAGAGCCCAGCAAAGGGTGGGGGCTCCCGCTGGCCATGGGACACGTACCCGGATTTTCACTTGGGTGCGTTTGCGCTGCCACTTCTCCTGTGGGATAGCAGGGCTGTAGATAGAGCTCTCCTCGCTCTCCGCCGGCTGCGGCCCTTCCTTCTCCATCACCTGCCAAGCAGCACGAGCCCAGCTCAGCCTCCAGCCAGTCCCACTGAACTGTGCTGCCCACCCTCTCCGTGCTCGCCGTACCTGGCGCAGGATGAAGGCCACCACGTCGGAGGACTCCCAGTAACTGGCGTGGAAGAGGTGGGGCAGGGTGATGGTGGGGAAGGCGGTCAGGGCGTCGGGGCAGTACAGCGAGTAGTCGATGCGCTTCGGGCCCCACCAGCGCTCCAGGACTGCGGGGAGAGCTGGCATGAATCTGTCCTCGGACCTTCTCCCGCGTCGTGCATGCCCAGGCACCAGCGTGGGATGGCATGGGCAGGGGTGGCACTTACTCTTGACCACTTCGCTGGTGCTAGCGGGAAGGGGGGGCTCTGCTGGCTCGCTGCCCCTCCAGAAGCCCCCAAAACTGCCAGTGGGGGTAGGGGGAGCGGCCACGTCCACCTCAGGCAGGAACAGGGCAGAATGCATCTGCAGGGCTTCCGCTGAGGAGAGGAACGAGTGAAGACACCCAGAGCCCCCCATGGGGACACTGACCACCTTGGGACCCCACCTCCAGCACCCCAAAGAGGTGAGAGCAGGGCTTGCCCGTCACTTTTCCCTCCACTTTTCCTGCAGTGCTGTGGGTGCTCTGGGTATCCCGGTGCTCATAATGCACCCCGGGGTGCTCGGGATCAGCCCGGCGTGGGGGGGTTGCTCACCCAGCAGGGAGGAGGTGCCGTCACCCAGGGGGTACTTCTGGTACCGGGGCACGCTGAGCGGCGGGACGGCGTGGAAGGCCTTGGCCAAGAGAGGCTCCAGGCGAGAGGCGCAGGGGTCGGCCGCATGGAAGAGGTTGTAGATTTGCTCGCAGGCAGGACGCAGCTGGGCCACTGAGGCAGAAAAAGGGCAAAGAGGGGGTCGGGGCTGCTCAGTCTGCATGGTAAGGAGCCTGACGGGGATAGGCACAGGGCAGCACAGCCAGGAGCTCAACACCCAGAGTGGGAGAAAGCAAAACCCAGTGAGAGGAAAGGCTGGGGGAGGCAAACCCAGGACACCGGTGACAGCCAAGGGTCAGGCTGGGGCTGGCACAGAGCGGGGAAGGGGACACCCGAGCAGCCAGGGCTGGGTGTGCAAGGGGCTCAAAACCCAAGCAGGGATTTTGGGGGAGGTCCCGGGGGGGCTGCACGACTTGGGGATGAGCCCCATGGGGAGGGTCAGGGGCTGGCACCGTGGCTGGCGGGGGTCCTCACCATCCAGAGCAGGCATGACGGTCTTGCGCAGCGCGAGCACCAGCCCCAGCGGGGAGCCAAAGAGGAAGAAGCCGGATACCTTAAAGTCGAGGCGAGTGCTGGCACCCTCCGCCCCGTCCAGCGTCCGTGGTGCCTCTGCCTCCAGCGGGGCCTCACTGGCCTGCAGGCTGGGACAGTGGGGACAGTGGGCATGGGGAAGGATGGTACTGTCCCACTCCCACCAGCCTGGGGGCAAAGCTGTGCCCGGCCCGGCCCCGTTATCCCGAAGGAGCTGCTGGAATCAGGGGAGCTCCAGCAAGTCCCGCCAGGCTGGTGCAGCCAGGGAATTCGCATTTTCCATAAAGCATAAAAATTAGTCAGGAGATCAACAGGGTTCCTGCTGCTGCCGACCGTCCCTCTCGCTCTCACCTGCACAAGGAGCTGTGATGGTGGCTGTCCCCTTGCTCCCGGCATGGCAGCTGTGGCCCCAGCTCGGGGCTGGCTTGACCCGAGCCCGCAGCTCCGTCCGCCCCGTCAGCCAGCGGGTCCCTGCCGCCGCACAGCTCGGGAGAGATGGGCTCTGTGCTCTGTGGGGAGAGGAGGAGAGGCAGTGCCACCACCAACCCTTTCCCCACCCTCCCTGACCAGTGGCGGGGGGCCGGCACTCACCAGGCTGCCGCGGCGGCTGCTGCTGCGGCTGCCCCCCGAGCCCACCCGGCTCTGGCAGAGCGCGTCGAAGCCCAGGATGCTGCCCACACAGTCCCCCAGCAGCACCACCTGCGAATGGCATGCACACATGCTGATGAAGGACGGAGCCCCCCTCAAGCCCTCAGCCCAGGGGCAAAGTTCCCACCGGAGCCAAATCCCGCCCGGAGCAAAACCTCCCCCCAAATCCCCACTCACCTGGCCGCAGAAACCAGCCCCCTCCCCGGAGTGCAGGAAGGAGCTGTACGCCTGGTTGGCACGGGCGATGACGGCACCCACGGCATGCTGGTAGCTCCCCGAGGAGGTGGCCAGCAGCGGGAGGGCTGCCAGCGGGATGTGGTCCTGGCTGCTGGACAGGCTGTCCCTGTCATGGCTGTAGGGGCTGAGCCTGAAAGGGACATGGGAAGGGGGACGATGACCGGGGCTGCCTCGATGTCCCCATCCCACCGCATGATGCTTGCTCACCCCAGGATGTTACCCCCAGCAGTTATCCCCATCCCATCGCTTGTCCTGGATGCCACACCAGGAGAAGGGAAAGTCCACCACCTCCCCGTTCCTCCCTCCCACAGCCCCGGGGAGCAGGGGGTGGTTTTGCAAAGGGGACAGCCCCCCCCGCCTCCTTGCCCAGAACGTGGCCCCGCCATCCGTACTTGGAGACGAGGGCGTAGGCAGCGGCGCAGATGGGCGGGCAGGGGACCAGGCGCAGCGCCACGTGCCCCAGCGCCTCGGGGAAGTGGACGCGGGTGACGGCGTCGAAGGTGGCCGCCAGCGTCTGCACGTCTGCCTGCTTGGAGCCCGGCTCGCCCGCTCCCTGGTCCAGGATGTTGCCGCTGTGGAGGATGAGGAAGAGGGCGTGGATCCGGCACGTCTGCGCCGCGCTCTCCGCCGAGCCACCCTGCGGGAGGGAGAGCGCTGCTGTCGTCAGCACCCACACCAGGGGACACGGCCCGAGGGGGTGGGACACACAAGTGAGATGCACCTCGGGGAAGCTGGCCACCCCCAATCCTTCACCATCCACCTTGGTGCCGCTGGCTCCGTCCCCTGTGAGCACACGGCCCCGGTGAGTCCAGCCGGGGTGTCCAGGCAGGGGTCGGCCCCCTCTCAGGACACCCACGCTGGGATTTGGGGTTGTGCCCCGCCCCTCTGCTCACCCAGCACCTCATCCAGCTCCGCCGGCCGCTCCAGCGTGTCCAAGAAGTCGTTGGAGCTCCACTTGGTCATCTCCTTCGCAAAGACCTCGTCGCTGTCGGACAGGTCCTCTGCGGCAGCAGGGAGGGGACCGTGGGTGGGGGGAGCACCCCTGTGCCTGCACCCCCACCCCAACAGCCCCTTGCCACGCACATTCAAGCCCACCCCAAGCTGGTGTCCCAAGCCCCTGCCACTAAAACGCCAAGCCATGGCCCCAGGGCTGCTCCACCGTACCGTGGGCGTCAAAAAACTCCTCTTCGGAGCTGTTCTCGGAGTCACGAGCGATGTTCTGCATCCGCCACTCGGAGAGGCTCTGAGGAGACACCCCCCCTGCCACCAGCATGGGGTCAGCATGCAGAACCCCCTCACAGCGAGACCCCGCTCCTGCCCCACAGCTCCCCTCTTCTTCCTCCACCCAAAGCCTCCCCTGGGAGACCCAGGGCCACTCCTGGGGCACCCAAAGACCCCCCCAGGAGACCCAGGGCCACTCCTGGGGCACCCAAAGCCCCCCCCAGGAGACCCAGGGCCACTCCTGGGGCACCCAAAGCCCCCACCAGGAGACCTAGGGCCACTCCTGGGGCACCCAAAGCCCCCCCCAGGAGACCCAGGGCCACTCCTGGGGCAGCCAAAGCCCCCCCTGGGAGACCCAGGGCTACCCCTGGGGCACCCAAAGCCCCCCCCCGGGAGACCCAGCGCCCCTCTTGGGGTAACCAAAGCCCCCCCAGGAGACCCAGACCAGGGAAGGGAGGGTCCCCTGACACATCTCCTGTGTAGAACAGCAGCAGCTGGGGGGGTTAAGGGACCCCATCCCACCCACACAAGACCTGAGCTCTCACCTCCATGCTGGGAAGAGTAGGAAGACCGGGAAGAGGTGGACCACTGCTTGGCAAAGGTATCGTCAGGGGAGGCATCGGCCACCCCCTGCGCCTCGGCCCCCTCCTGCCCGCTGGCACCCCCCGGCTCCGGCCGCCCCTCGGGGCTGGGCCCGGCAGTGGGGGGTTCCTCAGCCTCGCCGCACTTGGCCATTTTCTGCGCCAACATCCGTGCTGTCTCCTCCTCCAGCTGCCGAATGTCCTCCATGGTCAGGTCCGTCCACTCGTCCTGCCAGCACCAAGCCTGGCGATGGGCGCGCAGCATCACCTTCCGCAAACCTGCGGTGACGGGGAGCAAAGGGTGGAGGGGGGAGTGAGCCCAGCACAGCCCCAAGGCTCCCCAAACCTGCCCTCTCCCACCCCGCAACCAGGGCCAAGGGCTCACCGCTGCAGCCCCCACACTCACCCACGTCGTGGATGAACTGCTCGATTTTAGACTGCATTCCCCAGTAGCGAAATTCCACCTTGCAGAGCTTGTAGGCACACATCAGGGGCCCGCTGCTGGACACCTCCAGCCAGTCGTCCCCCAGTGGGCCCCGGCCCGTCTTGGCTGAGTGATAGAGCTTGGGGTCCTCCTCGGGCTTGTATTCCCCGGGGGAGATGGGGTCACGCACGATGTCGATGGTATCTGTGGAAGGGAACAGCGTTCGTCACCCTGCAGCACTCAGCGAGGGGATGCAGATGGGTGGGAGCCCCGCCTTGGGCAGAAAAGCAGAGAAAAAAAGACAAAAATCAAAGGGGGTAACCGTCAAATTATTCCCCCAAGCCATGCGCTCAACATAGCTGGTAGCAAATGCTCTCGATCCTGCAGCTACAACATCAAAGGAGCCCCAGGGTGCACCCGAACACGTCCCCATCCGTGCGTGGCTGTGAGAGGTGCCGGGGGGCAGTGGGGGGAGGCGTGGAGGCGGGCAACGAGCCAGGGCTGACACACATACGCGCATTAGCCGGGAGATTTGGCAGCTGGGAGGGTGGCCCCGGCGACCCCGGGGCTGGTGCCGAGGACGAGCCAGATTGAGCAGCTCGGCGGAGTGGTGAGCCCCGCCAGCTGTGCCCCCTCACCCCCCCCAGGCCCAAGGGTCCCCCCAGTAACAGGGCACAGAGTGCAGCAACACTCCCCCTCCCCCCCCAGCCCCAACCCAGGAGGAGCCCCTGTCAAGCCAGGGGGTGCAACGGCAACATCCCCATCTCCCAAAACGGTGGCAGCCTCCCCACAACTGGAGGGGGGGGGGCAGGGGTCACAGATGGCACCCAGGAAAACACGATCCAACAGACCTTGGAGGGGCTCACCCTTCCACAAACCCTCCTGCAGTTTGGCTGCTCCAGCTCAGTCTGGGGGAGGGCCCTCAGGGGGTCCCAGGGCACCCCACTGTCCCCCAGGACCTTCCCACAGAGCTGTCCCCAGCCAGTCCCCCCAGCCCATCCCCAGGCTGTGCCAGACTTTGCATTTATTTTCCCCCCATTGATGCCCTCAAGGCACCTGCTGGCCTCTTTCCTCCAGCTTGGGCCAAAAAAAGGGGGAAAAGGATGTTTAAGACTCAGAAAGAGAGACAGGTGCTCTGAAGCAGGGCTTTTCCTGGCAGTGGGCAGCTGAAATACAAGGCGCTGCAAGCCCTCTAAACCTCCCCAGGCTGCAAAACATCCCACAGGCTGGGAAAGCAGCACCCAGGGTGTCCAAATGATGCAGCAAACACGAGCCCTTCAACAAGCACCCGGCGGGCTGGTCAGCAGCAAGGAGCCGGGACGGGACCTGCCGGCCCCGAGCAGCTCCCAGCAGCATCACTCACGCAAGGGCCAACGAGTCCGTTCGCTTTTATCGCCGCGAGAAAACTGGCGAGGACACAATTATCCCTGCGGTTTGCCCTGACCACGTTACCCTGCTGCCCTTTGAAACGTGAGATGGGGTTTAAATCTGTCGGTGCTATGGGACACCGGGGTGAAAGCGAGAGCTGGTGAAGAAAATCCCAGCGGGGTCAGTGTCCCGGCTGGTCCCACCTCGGCGCTGCTCCCCATGACAGGCAGCAGCCACCCAAGATGCAGCATGCTCTGTGGAAAGCCCACGGGATGGGCACCGGGGAGGAAATTCAGGCAGGGCAGCAGGCAGCAGGCACAGGGCCATGCCCTGCCTGCTACCCGCTCAGCCCTGCTTGCTGCCCCTGTGGGGACATGGGCAGAATTTGTCCCCTCCAGCCCAAGCCCCCGGCATCCCGGCCGGACATCCCCGGTGCCGCAAGAGCCAATGAGAGAAATAGGTCAGATGAATCATTTCCTCCGAGTGCCTATTTTAGGCCTCCATTTTAAGAAGCGGCTCGTCATGCTTTGCACTCCAGTGCCTAAAACGACCAGATCGACGCTGCCAGGAAAGTGAGGCTGCAGCGGCCGGTGACAAACCCGCCGGCGAGGGAGGAATCACCCTCCGGACCCACGGCTCTGCCCACCGGTGTCCCCGGCAAGTGGCGGAGGGGCCCAGACCTGGAGAGTGATCTGGAGCGAAGGCTTGGGAAGCAGGGGAAGCAGGGCAGGGGGTGGGAAAATGGGGACACGCTTTTTCCAGCTCCCCCCTCTCCAGCTGAACTGAAAGGGGCTGCAGGAGCCCAGCATGGGTTCCCACGTCCACCCGGAACAGTACTGGGAAGGTAAAGCTGGGCCAGACTGACTGGGACAGGGGTTGGGATGTGGAGGAAGAGAGGAATGAGCTGTCTCCAAGAAGGAGAGGGCTGCAAACAAATATACAGTCAAGGGAGGAAGGCAGAGAACAACATTGCCCCCCCCCCCAAACGTCTTTAATGTGGACTCTGGTTTAGTAGGGCTGCCAAGGGAGGGGGCAGGGGCAATGTCCCCTGCCAGGGTCCCCCCATAGCCATCCCCAAAAGTCAAGGGCCAGCAGGGAGAGCAAAGCCAAGCGCGTTGCAGACGCCAAGCCCCTCGGGCACTGTGGCACACCCACACACCCAGCTTGGGGAGCACCGCATGGGAAGCCTGACAGGCATCGATAGGGGTCCTGCCCGGCACCGTGAGCCAGCCTCGCGGCAGCCATACACACCCAAAATCCTCTGCCTCTTCTCAGCCGCGCTCAGGTTGAAAACGTTGGTCTGCTGGCCCGCGTCTGGCCGGTAGTACGTCTCAATTTCGATGGAGAACTTCTCCACGAAGGGGCAGGTGTACCTGGGGGATGCAGGGGGGACAGGGCTGAGCCCGGCGGCACAGCTGGCCCCACAGCCCACCCCACAGCCCCACCGGGTCCTACCTGGTGCGGGTGTAAGGGTAGGCGTTCCAGGACTCCTCCTCCACCTGCAGCGCGGCTTTGGGGAGCAGTGCCCGAAACCAGCTGGGGATGTGGGAGCCCACGTGGTAGATCTTGTGGGTGTACTGGCCGCTGCCGCCAGGGCCGTCGCTGTAGGGCCGGTTGGCCAGGATCTCCACCCCACTGCCCTCACCGCTCGACTCCTCGCGGCTCTTCTTCTGTGGGGAGAGCCGCTGGATGAGCACGGCCCCCCCGCCGCCCCAATCCTGACACCCCCACATCCTCAAGTCCTGGCACCTCACCTGCACCCTCCCGCACCCCCCTCCAGCCTCACATCTACTCCTGAGACCCCCTGCTTGGCTCGGCAGTCCCTAACCCACCCGAAACTCACTGACACCCCTGCACCCCGCCAATCCCCTGGGGTCAGCCCCCTGCACTTCCCAGGCTCAGTCCTCCAGCTCCCTGCAGCCCCCCAGCCCCCTGCACTGCCTCAATATTCAGCCCCGCCCATACTCAGCCCTCTGCACCCCCATCACTCAGCCCCACAGCCCCCTGCACTCCCCATTCTCAGTCCCCCAGTCCCCTGCACCCCACAATGCTCAGCCCCTCAGCCCCCTGCACCCCTCATTCTCAGCCCCCCAGCTCCCTGTACCCCCAATGCTCAGCTCCCCCCATGCTCTGACCCCCAGCTCCCTGTACCCCCAATGCTCAGCTCCCCCCATGCTCTGACCCCCAGCCCCCTGCACCCCACAATGCTCAGCCCCCCAGCCCCCTGCACCCCTCATTCTCAGCACTCCCCATGCTCAGGCCCCCAGCCCCCTGCACCCCCCCATGCTCAGTCCCCTCATGCTCAGCCCCCCAGCACCTTGCACCCCCCATTCTCAGCCCCCCCCCCCCCCCCCATCTCCCTGCACCCCCTAGTGCTCAGCCCCACCTGGATCATGTACAGCTGAGCCACCTGGTACTCCTCCAGGCTCATGGGCAGCAGGATGTGGTACTCCTTGATGAGCATGGCGGCGGGGGGGCAGCGCCAGGGGGGGCAGCGCCTGAGGGGGCGGCCGGCAGCCCGCCTCAGCCCGGCCCGGCCCAGCCAGGCCCGGCCCGGGCCCGCCCCGCTCCCATAGCAACGCGCCCCCCGCCCGCTCGGCCCCGCTCGGCTCCCTTCGGCTTTTTCCGTATCCTTTCGGCTCCGCTCGCTCCCTCCCCCCCCCCCGCCCCTCCCCTCCCCTCCCGCCCACCGCGCCCCGCCGAACCTGCGCTGCTCCGCACCGGCCCCTCGGCTCGTGACATCACAGGCCGTTCCCACGGAAACGGCCGTGACGTAGGGAAGGTGGAAGGGGGGGGGGGGGAGCGTGACGTCAGAGGCGGGAAGGCAGCGAGCGCCGCTGCACAGGGACTCTGCGTGTGACGACACCAGCCCCCCCCCCCCCCAAAGGGCCGACCCTGCACCTCCGCGCTCAGAAAATTTTAAGTTTTTATTTTAAAAAAGTGTCACGTCCCCCCCTGACTTTATAAAAAAAAAAAAAAAAAAAAAAAAAGTGTTAAAGAGCATTTTGCTGATTCCTGCAACTCTCAGCCAGAGGAACAGCTCCAGGACACCTCACCCCCAATGTGAGCCCTTCCCCAGTGCACTGACATCCCCCCCCCAAGTGCCCTCCAATGTCCCCATCACCACCAGGACCCCACGGGCACCCCAGCATCCCCCCCCCCCTCCACGGGGATGCAGCCCGAGGCAGAGTCCCAACCATGTCCTTTATTTATAAAAACACGCATTTATAAAGAGAGCGGAGAGCATGGGGAGGGGGCAAGGGGGGGCAGCACGGCAGCCTCTCCCCTTCCCCCCCCCGGCCACCAGCGGGGCGGGGACACCGGGGCTCCCCGCTAGGGGGTCCCGGGTGGCAGCAGCCGTTACGTGCGGGCATTTCGCTCTGTCTCGGCCAAGCACTCCCTGACCAGTGCCCGGGCGTGGATGATACCTGCGGGGAAAAGCAAAGGGACACCCCACATCAGCTTCCAGCCCCCCCGGTCCCCCCCCCAAGCACCGGGGACCGGCTGGTGTGTGTCATGTGTGTCCCGTCCCGTCCCCCCCCCCCCCCATACCCCGCTTCAGCCGCTCCATGGCACTCTTGCTGCCGGCGTAGGTGGGCCGGATCTCCTTCCCCATCTCCTCGATGACGGAGAGCAGGTCGGTGTAGGTGCTCTGCGAGCCCTGAGCCCCGGGGGGCTTCATCGCCTGCGCAACGGGGGGGGCACGGAAGGGCTGAGGACCGGCCCCGCCGCCGCCGCCGCCCCCGGTCCCGCCGCCCCCCGCCTCACCTGCACATAGCCCATGGACGGCGGCCCGAAGTCATTGAAGAGCGGCCGGAAAGGAGCGGCGGCGCCGGGGACGGAGCCGGAGGGCGATGGGACACTCGTGGCTACGGGAAACGGGAGGGTTACGGGCTTGCAACCCCCTCCCTCTCCCCCACGGTTACCGGATGGGGGGGGGGGGGGGGGGGGGCACTCACCGGCGGGCGGCGCCCCGGGCCCCGGTGGGGCGGGGCTGGCGCTGGCAGCTCCGGGGGTAGCGGGGGCGGGAGCGATGGGCTTGTAGGACATCCCCGACGGCCGCCCGCCGCTCCCGGATCACCGGAGGGGCGGCGGGGGTCGGTGAGCGGCCCCCGCGCTCCCTCCCGCCGGTTTGGTACCGCCGCCGCCTCTCTCGGCTGGGCTCAGCCCCACACAACCCGACTGGAACCCGTCGAGGGGAATGAACGGCCGCCGGTGCCGGTGAGACCCGGCCTCCCCCCACCCCACACACACACACACCACCGCTACCGCTGCCGCTCGCCCTGATGACGCAGCTACGCGACGCCGCGCCAACGTCACCGCGCCGCCGCCCGCCTCCAGTCACCGTGGAGACACGCGGCGTCGGCTCCGCCCCCTTCCCCCCCCCCCCCATCCCCTCAGGGCAGCGGCGGGAAAGGAGCAGGGGGGGAGCGGCTCCGCTGCGACCCACGGTACCGGCGCTTGGCGGGATCCACTGAGGAAAACCTGAAGGAAAGGCTGTGCCGGCCCCCGAGGCTACGCAGGTGAGGAGGTGCCCGGGGGATCCCCGCTCCCTGCGGGGCGGGGGGGCCCGGAGAGGTGGAGGTGTGGGGCGGCCTTGGGGAGACAGGGTGAGGTGTACTGCGGGGGGAGAAACACACACAAGCATAAGGAGGGCAAATTTTACTTAAACTCAACCTAAAGATGAACAGAAGTCCTTCGAGAGACTTTTTCGTTTCAAAAGGGTGAAGATTGAAAAAAAAAAAAAAAAAAAAAATTTGTTCAGACACACCCCCCACCACCATCATCCCGCCCGAGTGTAATGCGGAAGCAGAGGATTTCCACAACTCGGATGTGCTAGAATTACCCCAAACTGTCATCCCCCCCCTCAAAAAAAAAAGGGTGGGGAGCCTGCCCTGCCTGCAGTGCGCCTCTCCCCTTCTCACCCGTGCTCCTGGGTGGAAAACGGTAATGCTTTATTCCCGGCTTTTTCCCTCAAGGATGTCCTGGCCAGGGGTGCTGAAGCCCTGAGGAGTCTCCCCTGCACTGGTGACTGGACAGAGCATCCACGGCCCAGAAAGCAGAGGGATGCCCGACCCGCAAGGGACAGGACAGAGCAGGGTCTGGGGTAGGTCTGAGCTCAAACGGGGGTGATGGGGAGAGATGGTGGGTTATGCCGCAGGGTCAGCCCTAAATCACAGTGTGGAGGGAGTGGGGTCAACGTGAAGGGCTTGGCGTTGGATACAGGGTTCAAAATGGAGGGGTGAGCTGAGGTGCAGCTGGAGGAGAAGGGACTGGCATGTTTTGAATTTTGGAGAAACAGGAGGTGGGGGTGAGATCAGGGCAAGGAGCAGAGGTGACAGCGGCTGCTGCCTGGCCAAGTCTGCGCCGAAAAGGGGCCCGGCGTTGGGCCCCGGTGCCCCACGCCATGGTTGGACCTCAGCAGCCGGGCAGAAGCACAGCCGAGGATGAGTCTGAGCACCTCCAGCGATGAAAAAGCAAGGGCTTTGCCCTGGGCTCTAGTGCCGCGCCGGCACGGCCCCAGCAGCTGGAGCCGGGTGTCTCCTCCGTGGCCCCCCTCCTCTTCGTAAGGCACAGCGGGGGCTCGCATCCCGTGTTGGCACACACCGCCCTCAGCGCGACATCATCCGCACAAACTCTGCCGGCAGGAAAATATGTACAAAACACCCCGAATATTCCCAGGGACGTTGGTGGCCCCCCTCCCCAGCCCCTACCTTCGAAGTCCACCAGGCCGTCCCCGTTGAGATCCACGTCCTTGAGGATCTCGTCCACCTCCTGGTAGTTGAGCTGCTGCCCCAGCAGCTTGCGCATGGCCTCCCGCAGCTCCGCCATGCTGATCTGCCCGTCCCCATTGGTGTCGAACTGCGGGGCAAGCCCCCGTCGGCGACAGCTGCCCTCAGCGTGCCGGCAGCCCTGCCCACACCCGGGGTGCAGCCCCGGCCCCTCACCTCGCGGAAAGCGTCGCGCAGCTCCTTGATCCCGATCATGTCCGCCGTCTCTGCCAGCATCTTGGGGCCCATCAGCTCCACGAAATCGTCAAAATCCACCTTGCCCCCAGCTGCGGGAGAAAGGGGGGGTGTCACCAGGGTGGGGGGAAGGGGATCGCTGGGAGCATAGAGTGGGTCCTCCCCCTGCCACGTACTGATCTGCTGGGACAGCTCGATGAGCTCCATCTCGGTGGGCATGTAGCCCATGGTCCGCATGCACTCGCCCAGGTCCTTGTAGCTTATGTAGCCATCGCGGTCCTTGTCAAACTCCCGGAAAGCCTGCTTCAGTTCTGGGGGGGGGCCATACGGCATCACTGCCAGCACCCCCACCATCCTGCTGCAAGCCTAACTGGGGCGAAACCCCCCAGCCCCAGCCCTGAGGGACACAGCACCTCACCTTCAATCTCCTCGGGCCGTAGGTCTCGGTCCTGGGAAAAAGAAAGTGGGAAGAGCCGAAGGAGGGGGGTCCTACCCCTCCTACCTCAAATCCCCCCGCGGGCGGCAGGTCACAACGGGGAGGGGTGGGACGCATACCAGCTGGGTGATGGCAATGCTCTGCCGCAGGAAGATGCAGGCCGGCCCCACCAGCCCTTGCAGCACTGAGTAGCTTTGCAACGGGGGAGATTCCGACATCTCCTCGGGGTCCCCGGTGCCGGGACCAGAGCGCGGCTTCCCATCCTGCGGGTAGAGTGGGAGAAAACAGCAATGTGGGCGCCCCCTCCCCCCCCCCCGCCACCTTCCCAGGCCTTACCTTGGGGAGCCTCCGCTCAGGGGTTTTGGTGCAGTTGCCCATGGCTAGGGGTAGCCCCCGCAGGGAAGGGCATGCCTGGCCCCAGGGAGCTGGTGATGTGGTCCGGGGCTGGGGTGGGGGGAGTGTGAGAGTGGCTGTGGCTGCGTGGGGATTTGAGGTTTTTATGGAATATCTGGGGATATATGCAGGGCAGGCGGTGGCGGGCGGGGGGGTGCTTCGCCCACGCATAATCCCCCGGATTATTCCCTGCTCGGCTGCCCTGTTCCAGATGTGGGGAGCTGCCCAGCTGTTCCCCGGCCCCCCAGCCTCCCCGCAAGGCCACTCGCGCCCCCCCATCCCCGGCTCTGCCGTACCCCAGCCCGCACCCCCCGCCGCCGGTTACTTGCCCAAAAGCGGGGGCCAGTGGGGGCTCCCGACTCCTCGGCAGCCCACCGGGCTCACGGTGGGGGGAGACGCGCCTCCACAACTCGGCTGCCCCGGGGTGCCAACGGTGCCAGGGCCCCCCCAGGTCGCGGGGCCGGGCGGAGGCAGCGACCGCCCCGTTTACCGGGGCCGCAGGGGGCAGCAGGTGCCCCAGCAAGCGCGGGGTGCGAAGCTACCGGCCCCCCGCCGCCGGGGCCCGCGGAAAAGGACGAACATGCCGCCTGCTGCCCCGTCCCGCCGCCGGCCCCCGCTCCCTCTCCTCACCCCCGGGGCCAGGTGAGAGGGAAACCGGATCCCCGGGGCCCGGCGCTCGCTCGCCGGGACGAGGCCACCACCGGGGAGGGGGGGCAGGGGGATAATACATGGCCCCAAACCGGCCAGGGGAGAGCGCGACCCGCCGAGCAGTCTCCGGCGCGGTGCAGCCCCCCCTCCCCCGGGGTGTTTGGCGGGGGAGGAGAAGGCCAGAACGGGGGGGACACCGGGGAGGGGGGGAGGCGGGCGGGCGGGGATCCGATTTCAGGCGCCGAACCCCGACCCGCTCCCGCGGCACACGGCGTCGCAGCGCCAGCCTAGCCTGGCCCCGCCCCCCCCCCGGGCGCGCGCGGTTGGCCACGCCCTCCTGCGGCTCTCCGTTTGACTGCGCCCGCCGCTGACGTCACGGCCGGCGCGACGCTGCGGGGGCGGCTGAAGGTGACGGTGGTCCCGGTCCCGGTCCCGGTGCCCGCCCCGCCATGGCCGCTCGGCAGCTGCTGGCGCTGCGGCGCCTGCCTGCCGCCGCCGCCTCCTCTTCCTCCTCCTTCTCGGTGAGCGCTGGGTCGCGCCGGCGTGATCCGGGACGGGTCCAACCGGGCCCGCCATGACCGGTGCTGAGTCCGTGTCTCTCCGCAGACGGCGCCCAAAAAGACGCAATTCGGGTCGCTGCGCGACGAGGACCGGATTTTCACCAACCTCTACGGGCGGCACGACTGGAGGTGAGTACTGGGAGGCGAGGGGTGTGTGTGTGGGGGTACCAGCGTGGCCAGTCCCGTCCCGGTTTGGCCAGTCCCGGTGCCATCGGCCGAGCCCTGCCCGCAGGCTGCAAGGCGCTCTGCGCCGCGGCGACTGGTACAAGACGAAGGAGATCCTGCTCAAAGGGGTGGATTGGATCCTCGGCGAGATCAAGGCTTCGGGGCTGCGGGGCCGTGGCGGCGCCGGTTTCCCCACCGGCCTCAAATGGAGCTTCATGAACAAACCCCCGGATGGCAGGTGAGATCGGTACCGGTACCGGCACCGCTGCAGCCCACTTCCCCACAGGGAGCCTGTCCCTGATGCCACCCACCCCTTCCCAGGCCCAAGTACCTGGTGGTGAATGCCGATGAGGGGGAACCGGGCACCTGTAAGGACCGGGAGATCATGCGCCACGACCCCCACAAACTGGTGGAGGGCTGCCTGGTGGCGGGGCGCGCCATGGGCGCCCGCGCCGCTTACATCTACATCCGCGGCGAGTTCTACAACGAAGCCTCCAATCTGCAGGTGAGCCGCAGGGGAGGGGGCACAAGGACACACCCCCCTGCCATTGCAGAGAAGGTGGAGGGGAAGCCCCAGACCCACTCGCCTGCTCCCTGCCACAGGTGGCCATCCGGGAAGCCTATGAGGCCGGGCTCTTGGGGCGGGACGCTTGCGGCTCCGGGTACGCCTTCGATGTCTTTGTGGTGAGGGGTGCCGGAGCCTACATCTGCGGGGAGGAGACGGCGCTGATCGAATCCATCGAGGGGAAGCAGGGCAAGCCGCGCCTGAAGCCCCCCTTCCCTGCCGACGTGGGTATGTCCCCTGGCTCTTGGCAGCACTGGCCTTAATTCCTCGCTGTCGCTTGAGAGCGGGACAAAATGGCAGTGACCAAACAAAACCAGTTTCCCCTGGCCGCCGTCCTGCTTCAGGAACGAGGCAGTCGTTGAGAGCTCCCGCTGCTTCCAGGTGTTTTTGGGTGCCCCACCACGGTGGCTAACGTGGAGACGGTGGCTGTGGCCCCCACCATCTGCCGGCGGGGGGGGACCTGGTTCGCCGGCTTCGGGCGGGAGCGCAACTCGGGGACGAAACTCTTTAACATCTCGGGTCACGTCAACAACCCCTGCACTGTGGAGGAGGAGATGTCGGTGCCACTGAAGGAGCTCATTGAGAAACACGCCGGTGAGCACCGTGGACCACCCCTGCCGAACTGCGCTGAGCCAGTGCTGGGTTTGGCTCAGCTCCTCCTGTCCCACCCCGTCTCTGACAGGGGGTGTCCGAGGGGGCTGGGACAACCTGCTGGCTGTCATCCCGGGGGGCTCCTCCACGCCGCTGCTCCCCAAGTCGGTGTGTGAGACCGTGCTGATGGACTTCGATGCCCTGGTGCAGGCGCAGAGCGGGCTTGGCACAGCTGCTGTCATCGTCATGGACAAATCGGTAAGGGAGGAGCACCCCCCCCCCTCCCCAGCCCCCCCATGCTGCGGCGTGACCCTCGTTCTCCCTTCCCTCCCCAGACTGACGTCATTAAAGCCATCGCTCGCCTCATTGAGTTTTACAAGCACGAGAGCTGCGGGCAGTGCACGCCATGCCGGGAAGGTGAGCGGGGCAGGGACACACACACCATGGGGTGAGAAGTGGGGACACACACACCACACCCCCCCCACACACACACCCACGGGTCCCTCACAGCTTTCCCCTCCCCACAGGCGTCGACTGGATGAACAAGGTGATGGCGCGGTTCGTGCGGGGCGACGCGGAGGCGGCAGAGATAGACGCGCTGTGGGAGATCAGCAAACAGATCGAGGGCCACACCATCTGTGCCCTGGGCGACGGCGCGGCCTGGCCCGTGCAGGTGCGGGGGGGGGACTTGGGGCCGGGAGCAGGAACTGGGGGGGCTGGATTGGGGTGTGGGGGGGCTGGCAGCCTTTCCCCACCCCGTTAATCCATCTCGTTTGCTCTGTGCAGGGCCTCATCCGCCATTTCCGACCTGAGCTGGAGGAGAGGATGCGGCGCTACGGTGAGGCCAAAGCCCGGGTGGCATCGGCGTAAGGAGCCGGCAGCTGTGGCCCTGCCATCGCCTGCCTGGGAGGGCTTCTTGGGGTTGGGGCAGGGCTTCTCGCAGCAGGTTGGGGGGCTGCGTTGAGGGGTCCTCATTAAATGCTGCTGCGCTCATGGGCTCCTCTTTTCACTGGAGAGGGGCAGGAGTAAGCTGCAGATGTAAAATGGTGGGGAGGGCGGGGGGGACTCTGGGTCCTGCCCCCTCCCTCCGGGAGCCGGGGGGATCCCCAGGGATTGGAGGGGGATCCCACTGCTGGGGTCTGGATACCTCCATAGGGGGATATCCTGGCTTTCAATGAGCCTCTGTGTCGCCTCTCTGGGACCGGGCCGGGGTGAGAGAGCTCCTGCAAGTTCTAGGGGTATGGCTGTGGTCCCCCTCTCCCCGTCCCCACCCCCCCTGGTGCTGGCATCAAGCACCAGCCACACTCCGGGACTCGGAGGCTGTGGCACACACGGTTCCAAACATGGCTTTTTACTCAATCGCACCAGGTGACAGCAGCACCGAGGGCTGGGGGTGGAAATCAGTGCATTTTCCCCATCGCCGTTTGCGGAGCGACGCCAGGTTACAGGCAGCCAAAAACAAGCCAGGGAACCCTCTGCTTATACGCAACCCCCCCAGCCCAAAAGCACCACCCTGACACCCAGGGCAGGCCCAGGGGGCCACCCTGACCCCTCAAGCCGAGCTTGCCGCGGGGCTGCAGGTCGGCATGTGGGTCTTCCTGCGGTAGCGGCCGGGCGCCAGCAGCTCCAGGGTCAGCTCGGTGATGATGGCCGTCAGCCCCCACACCTTGTGGGGGCCGTTGAGGAAGACGGGCAGGGTGTAGCCATAGCGGCCGGCGGTGCGGAAGTGGGTGTAGCCCTGGTTCTCCTCTCGCAGGAGATGAGCCAGCGGCAGGGTGAAGATCTCCTCTACCTGCCGGCACAGGTGGCGAGCGGGGTAGCCGGGCCCAGCTGCCACGGTGTCACCAGGGCCATGGGGAACGGGCGAGGGGGGGGGGCTCGTCCCAAAAAGGAGGGTCACCCACCTCATCAGGGTTGGGGGTCAGCCTCAAGTCCTCCAGGGCCCCCAGGTTGGCCACGACGGGAGCCACCATCTGTCCCTTCTGGGCGGCGTGGTGACAGAGGGATGAGAGGAGGGTCACAACCTCCTCCCCCCCCCATGTGTCACCTTGACACCCACCGCCCCGCTGCCAGCTCGCCGTGTCCTTGGGCACCCACCTCCCCGCCACCCTTGTCACCTCATGTGTCCCCGTCCCGCCCCCGCCACCCCCGGTACCCGGTCGGGCAGCAGCCGGAGCTGTCCCCAAACGCTCGGGGCACCCAGGGCCAGCCCCAGCTCCTCCCGCGTTTCCCGCAGCGCCGTGGCCACCGCGTCACCGTCCGCCGGATCCCGCCGCCCCCCGGGGAAACTGGAAGAGAGAAACGGAACCGTCAAACGGCCCCCGGGGAGGGAGGGGGTGTGTGGGGTGTGTGTAGCGTGGAATCGGTGTCCGGTGCCCGCCGCCGGTACCTGACGTCCCCGCTGTGGGCCCCGCCGAGGCGGCGGGAGCGGAGCGTGAAGAGCAACGCGGGGCGGCCCCGCACCGAGCACAGCGGCACCAGCACCGCCGCCGCCGCCGCTGCCCCCCCCGCCGCCGCCAGCCGCTCCCGGCACCGCCGTTCGCTCCCGCTGCTCAGTAACTCCCCGTCTCCGCCGTCACCGCGGGGGCCCGGCTCCGCCATGGCGCCGGTACGGGAGGGTGGGAAGGACGTACGGGAGCGGCCGCCCCCGGGACCGCCCCCCCTCCCCCGGGACCGCCTCCCTGGGCACGGGCTGGGCGACGGCCCCCCGCTGGGTGGGCAAGCCCAGCTCCAGCCATGCAATCCTCCTGCTGCACATGCAACACCCCCACAATGGGTGTGCAACCCCCACAAGGGGTGTGCAACCCCAGCTCCAGCCCTGCACCCCTCTCCCTGGGTGTGCAACCCCCTCCAGTTTTGCAAGCCCAGCTCCAGCCCTGCAACGACAACCCCCTGCTCCAGCTGTGCAGCCTCCCGGCCAGATGTACCCCCCTCCTGCTGGGTGTGCAAACCCCCCCACCCCCGCCAGCTGCACAACCCTGTCCCCAGGTGTATAACACCCTGATGGGGTGTACAACCCCCGCCTTTTCACAGCCCAGCCGTCCCACCATCTTCCCCCCATCACCAGCCGCCTGCCCCAGGGGCCTGGGACACCCCCACGGGGGCTGTGCCCAGGAACCACTGCTGCTGGGATCCATCCCATCTCTGTCTACTGCCCCAAGAGGGAAGGGAAACTGAGGCACAAACGTGGAGACCTTCAGGCAGCACTCTCATGCTGCCACCCCATAATTAGCCAGAGTTGTTAATGAGCAGCCTCCACCCCTCCCCTGGGGCCATCGGTCCCCCAGCACCTGCAACCTCGTACAGCCGGTCTTTAAAAAAAAGGGGGGATGGGACAATGGTTTGTGGGAGAATCCAGTACGCTGGGCTGGGATTGGGGCAAGAAAAGGGAATATAGGGACAGGGAAAGGGGAGGAAATGCTGGAGAGGGGTCAGGAATCCCCCGGCCCCCCCACAGACACTCTCACACATCCACCTTCATCTCTCAGCATGAAATGATTTTAAAAAACTGTATAGAAATCACCACTCTCTCATAATTCTTTGTCTCCAGAGCCCCGCCCCTGCCCCGGCTCGGCTTCAAGACACCCCTCTCGGCTCCAGCTTCAGCGAAACCTCCTCTCCTCCCACACGTATCGCTTCCCTGCGGGCACCTTGCGGAAAAACAGGCTGTTCCCTCTGCTCATGTTGCCCTGGAAGGGGGAAGATGGTGACCAGCGGGTGAGTCTGGGCTACCCCGAGCCCCACTGTGGCCCCCCCAGAGCTCCCCCCCCAGCTCTGCTCGGTGGCCAGGTGGCTCGATGCCTGGCTCCAGCCACTCACCTCCCTGTGCAGCTGGCTCCAGCAGTCCAGCCAGGAGGAGTAGGTGGGTGCATAGGGGAGGAGGCCCCCCATCAGCCTGCGGAAGTGAGGGAAAACCCACGGGGAATTATTTCCACCCACGACCAAGACCGGAGGGGTTGGACCCATCCCCTCCGCAGCTCTGCTACGGATTGAACCCCAAAATGGCCCTTTTAAAAAACAGGCTCCCACCCCAGCGCAGTGTTCCTGAGGAGGAATCAACCCCCCGCAGCGAGTTTAAAAGCTCTTTGGTATTGTGGTTGTGGGGGGACATGGCTGTCACCCACGCTGCCCCCACCCCACCCCAGGGCGGTGACAGACTCACCCGCAGTTATTAACAGCCATCAGGTTGGAGACCAGCACGAAGGGGTAGGTCAGCATGCTGGCAAAGAACTGCAACGAGAGCAGGGCTGGTCAGCAGCGGCCCCCACAGGGATCTCCCCTGGGAGAGAACAAACCCCAGAAGATCCCCAGGGAACCCCCGGGAGGGAGCCCTCGCCTGCAGGCTCTGTACCAGCAACACCAAGGTCGTGAGCCCACAGGGGCAGAGGGTCCTGTGGCCCCTTCCCGGGCCAATCCCGCTGGAGCAGCCCAACCCCACAGCCACAGGACAGGCGGGATTACGGGGAAACACATATGAAATTCAATTTGCTTCTCCCTTCGCAGCAGGGAGCCAGCATCACATCCACAGGTGTACACACACCCGCACAGGCTGTACTCACTCCGGTGACCGCCTGCGAGTAGCTCTTCATCTCAGCCATGGTTGAGACCTGCAAGAGATTAAAAAAAAAAAAAAAAAAACACCACACCTTCAACCCCCACGGAGCCAACCCAAAGTAGGGCCTTGCCCCCCCTGGATTGTCCCCTGAGCCTCCCCTGTCCCTCCTCACTGTCGGCTCGGTACCACCACGCCGCCAAGCCCGTACCCCGTTTTCCAGCGCGTACGTGTTGATGAGGTAAGCCAGCATGTTGCAGAGCCAGAGCGATAGGATGTCCCCGAGGAGCCGGGGGATGAGGCCGCTGAAAGAAAAAGAGGCAGCGGGAAGGTGAGCCGGATCCGGCCGGGAACAGCTGTTCCCCCAAGGGCCTGGTAAAGGGGGAACCCCCGGCTCCAGGGGTGGGGATACAGGCGCAGAGAGGAGCTGCTGGAGGGACCCAAAACAACCCCCAGTTTGTTCTGGCGGAAGGGTAACTACACCTCTGCTCCTTTTTAATGTCCCCAGGTACTGGATGTCACCCAGGCACCTCAGGGCTGGTGGCTACAAGGCAGGGGGCTTGCCGGATCAGCGCCAGGAAGTGCCCCCCCGGGGTTGGGAACACCGGGAGACCGTGCACCCCAGCAGCGGCCAGCAGAACCCAGCGAGATGGGAAGAGCAAGAGCTGCAGCACCGCGGCCAGAGCGAGGAGCAACGCTTGTGGATTTTGGGGAGAGACCCCCTCCCCTCCATCCCCCCCCCGGGAATGAGACCCCCCCACCACTGTCAGCACTCACGCGAAGAAGCCCAGGATGCCCTCTTCTCGGTAAATGGTGGCGAAGGCGCTTAGTGTCCCGCTGCGCCGGGGAGGAAGAGGAGAGCACTGCGATCAGAAGGGTACCCTGCAGGCAGGCAGCCCCCAACAGCACCCCCAGCCCCCCACCCAACCCCCGATAGCACCCCCAGCCCCTCCCCCAAAACCTCTAGCCCCCCCACCCCCCCCACCCCCATACCTGTACTTGGTCTCGCGGCCGATGAACTGCACCATGCAGCGCAGGGTGATCACTGCGGGCAGAGACAGCGAGCGCAGGGGTTGGGGTGGGGGGGTGGTGGGGGGCGGACAGGGATGCTCCAGAGTGACACAGAGGTGACAAGCAGCTGTCACCCAGGTCACCAGGGTATGGGGGGCGGGAACACACACACACAGACACCACACACCTACCGTGGAAGGGGTGGGTGATGAGCGTGGCAGCAGAACGAGCGACCATCTCTCGGGAGGTCTGGGGAGAAAGGGGGTGTTAGGGGAAGGGGGCTGGGGAAGGCAGGGAGCCCCACAAGCACCCCAGCACCCTCCTCTTCCTCCTCCTCCTCACCTCCTTAAGGACCTGCTCCAGTGAAGACGCGGGCTCCTTCTTGCTGGCTGCTGGCTGAAGAAGGAGAGGCAGCAGGTGGGGAACAGCCCCCACCCCCCTAAAAGCACTGCTCCCTCCCCAGCACCTACAGCTGCGGGGGCACAGGGGCTCGGGGGATTCGGGGAGGGGAGAGATGGGGGCTCACGGGGGCTCGGGGAGGGGAGAGGGGGGGAGACGGGGGCTCGGGGAGGGGAGAGGGGGGTTCAGGGAGGGGAGAAGGGAAAAATGAGGGCTCAGGCAGAGGAGAGAGGGGGGTTCAGGGAGGGGAGAAGGGAAAAATGAGGGCTCAGGCAGAGGGGAGAAGGGGGAGAGGAGGGTTTGGGGGGGGGGGAAAGCAGCCTCACACCTACCTCAGCCTGCTCGGCTTCCTGGTACCGCTGGGGAGTGAAGGGCAGGGTTAGTGTCACCGGGGGGGCCCTGGCAGCACCACAGCAGCGACACGGGGGTGTCACAGGTGGGTGGCAGAGCCCACCCAAAACCAGTGTGCCCCCCCACACGCCCCCCCTGCCCCGGTACCTGCAGCACTTTGCTGTGCACCACGGTGCCAATGGCGCTGGAGCAGAGGCGGGGGGTGAGGCCCTTGAAGAGTCCCGCTCTTCCATCGACCTTCACGATGTGCTTGGCTGGGGGCAGCGGGGACCTGTTCACACTGGGTGGGGCCCCCCCACGCGGGGATACACACACACACACACACACACACACACAGGGTGGGGGATACAGGGACTGGGGGGAACGGACGGGACTCACCATAAGCGAAGAGGCCGGGCAGCTGGTAGACCTGGCGCCCGAAGATGTTCCTGCCCAGGGTGGGCGGCAGTGGCTCGTACCCGACCTGCAGCGGGGACCGGCAGCCTTGCACTGGTACCGGGACCCCCAGGACCCCCACACCGGCACTGAGAACCCCCCAGGACCAGGACCAGGACCCTCTACACCGGGACCAGCACCAGGAACCCCCCGGCCCCAGGACGCCCCCACACCTGAACCCCCACGGCACCAGCACCGGGAACCCCCGCACCGAGACCAGAAACCTCCATGGCACCAGGACCGGGACCGGCACCGGGAACCCCCCGCACCGGCACCGGGACCGAGACTGGGACCAGCACCAGGAACCCCCCGGCAGCGGGACCCCCCACAGTGGCACCGGGACGCCCCGCACCGCGAATCCCATGGCACCGGGACCAGGACCGGCCCCCGCTTACCTGCACCAGCACCTTCACGTACATGAGCGGCTGCGAGAGCACGGTGAGCCCCGAGCCCAGCAACACCTGCGAGGCCGCGTCCGCCATGCTGCCGCCCCGGCGTCACGGCCCAGAAGGACACGGACACCGCTTCCGCTCCCGGTACTTCCGGCGCGCCCGCAGAATACTTCCGGCGGCCAGAACGGGCGCCCCCCCCCTTCCCGGCCGGGTCGTCATGGCAACGTGAAGGGCGGGGGGGTGTGTGTTATCGTGGCTACGGGGCCTGAGGCGTCGCCATGGCAACCTCAGGCCTGCAGTGACGTCATGGCGAGGAGGCCGGTGAGGACGTCACGGTGAGGGAGCCTGCGGTGATGTAATGGCGAGGGGGCCTGAGGTGACACGGGGGAGGGGGGAAAAAAAAAACCTGAGGTGTCGCCATGGCAACCTGAGACCTGCGTTGACATCATGGTGAGGGGGGCCTGCGGTGATGTCATGGGGGAGGGGCGGGAAACAGGCATTGCCATGGCAACAGGGCCTGCAGTGACATCATAACGAGGGGAGCCTGCGGTGACACTGAGGGAGGGAGGGAAACTGAGGCGTTGCCATGGCAACGGGGCCTGCAGCACCCGTGGAGCCTGGAGCCTGCCTGCGGCCTGCAGGCACGCGGTGACGTCACAGCAATGGCGCCCGCGCCACAGTGACAGGGCCTGCGGGGTGAGGCGGCAGCGCTGGGACACACGGACACACACGGACACCACGACACTGTCCTGATGGCGCAACGCAACCCGCCACCGCCTTTAATCCCGGGCGCAGGCGTGGCACCGCGGGGTGAGATGGGGACGCGCCCGGTGCCCGCCTGCAGCAGCTGCCCGCCGCCGCCCTGGCCCGGCTGCGAGCACCGCACCCCGCGGGGGAGCACTGGGGCCACTGCTCGCCACCTTTGTGCTGCTGGTTGCCACCTTTGTGCCGCTGGTCGCCACCTTTGTGCCGCTGGTCGCCACCTTTGTGCTGCTGGTCGCCACCTTTGTGCTGCCGTCCAGCTGCGATGTCGCTGCAGTGGCGTGGCGGCCACCCCCCGCTCCGGTGAGAGGCAGCTGCCGGTGGGGCCCCAGCTTGGCCTGGGGGTCACGGGAGAAAGGTTAGACTGGCACAGCACCGGGGACCAGTACCCCAGCGGGACTGTCCCCTCTGGGACGGTGTGGAGGGTGCTCACCGGGACGCTGGCACGGCTCTGGTGGGCGGGATTGCTCCAGTGCAGCGCGTTCCTCGCTCTCCGGCTCCTCAGCCGCTTCCTCCTCCGTTGCGTCAACTGCACCTGGGTGGCAAAATGGTGCCGGGATGTGGCGCCTCATCCCTCCCACCCCGAATGTTCCAGCGCCCGGGGACTCACCGGTTGGACTGGGCCCACTGCGTGAACTGGAAACTCATCGGACACGGAGCTATCGGAGCCGATGGTGCTGTGTGTGGAGAGATTAGTGCCTGCGGCACCGCGGGGCTCAGCGCGGCGCAACCGGGATGTACCTGGACTCAAGCTCCGAGGGGGAAACATCGCTCCAACCGCCACTGGCTCCTGGCTGCTGGCCCAGCCGCTGCCGCAGCAGTGTGTCCACCTCCAACAGGCACTGCCGGAACTGCGCGACAGAGCCAGTGTCACTGCAACTGGCCCCGGGACCGGCCGGTGCTTCGGGCTACCGACCCCACCTTGGCAGGATCGGGGTCACAGAAATCGAGCAGGGTGTCACAGAGGTGGGAGCCCAGTGCTTCGAGGTCCTCCACGGTGAAGTGCGAGTTCCTCCCGTCTGGAGGAGACGAGGAAAATGAGCGGCGGCTTCTCTCCAAACCGGGGGCCTGCAACCATCACCCACCCTGCAACCCATGGCAGCCCCTCACCCAGTGTCGAGCCACCAAAAGCTGCCTCCAGGGTGTAGCTGTTGGAGACACCCAGGCGCCACAGGACCACCCTGCCCGTCCCCGCTTTGCTCTTCTGCACCTTGAACTTGCAGCTGGGGAAGGAGAACTGGGGGAGGGGTGGGGGGCAGCACAGTGGGGTTTAGGGGGGGATGTGTCTCCCCTCCCTGGCCCTGCGGTGGCAACCCCAGCATCCCCACCTTGTCGGGGGCGTTTTTGCTCAGCATCAGGGGGAAGACGCGTTGGCGCAGCCGTGGCCCAGTGCTGCCGCCACCGTCGTCGCAGCCGTACATGAAGACGTTGTTCTTCCGGCTGTGCCCGTGGAAGTCGCAGTACAGCACCACCTCCCGCTCCGCCAGCACCCTGCGCCCGGCAGGATACAGCCACCCGCACCGCTGCGGGAGCCCCGGCATCCCGCCGTCACCCCCCAGCTCACCTCTCCACCAAGGCCCGCAGGTGCCACACGCCAGGGAAGGAGCCGCGGAGCGCCGTGCCGTACGCCCTGTTGGGATCCCGGCCCGCCAGCGAGCAGCGGGAATTCCCCACCACCACCCCGTCGGGGTTGAGCATAGGCACCACCTTGAAGACGAAAAGCCGACGCAGCAGCCGGGCATCAGCGTGGGAGCTGAGGAGGAAATCGAGGCAACCCCGCATGGCCCAGGAGCCGCCGCTCTCCCCTGGGTGCGCGCGGGCGCTCAGCACCACCGCCCGCTTCCCCGCCGCGCCACCGGGGCTGGTGATGGTCAACAAGTAGACAGTGTTACCGGCCAAGCTGCGGCACAGCGCCCGCACCGCGCAGTACCGCGAGCGCACCGGGTCGCCTGCCAGCGCCCGCAGGTACCGCTGCAGGTCAGAGTAGGTGTAGGGGTAAGAGTGGGCGAAGAAGCAGGTATCGCCGTCATGGGGGAAACGTGCCGTCCAGGTGAGGCGGAAGGCGAGCGGCTCCTTCCCACCACCCCGGTAGTAGCAGACATCGGTGCCGACGCGGCGCCAACCGATGCCACGGCTCCGGGCGTCCTGCTGGGAGTAGAACAGCGGGCGCATGCCCTCGCCGTAGAGGCTCCGGGGTTTCGCCAGGTTGGCGATGGTGAAGCGGTAGAGGGGTTCCCGCCGGGTGTTTTGGACGCGGAAGTAGAACCACTGCGTGTGCTTGGCGGTGTACAGGTCCGGCCGCAGCGTCAGCACGTACTCGTAGGGGCCCCTGCGTGGCGGGACGGGCCAGGCTGTGGCTCCTGCCCACCCCACACCCCCCCCCCGGTGTCTTTTCTCCCCTCCCCAGCCCCTCTCTTACACCTTGACAGCTTTCTGGAGGTTGCCGCTCTCGAAGCGTGATTCAAAGAGCAGTGTGGCATCCTGCGGCCCCTCCAAGGCGGCCGCTGCTGAGGAGAGGGGACCCGGGGCCCCCCCGACCCGAGCACGGGTGAAGCAGGAGCCTGGGGGGGCTGTGGAGGTGTGGGGGGGAAAGCCCAGAGGGCGATTTGGGGTGGGGGGTCTGAGGAGCCCGAGGGGGGCACCCAGGGGTGCTTCCCGCTCCCCACTACCTGGGCTGTGGTAGACGACGGTGCCTTGCTCCTCACTGAGGGTGGATGGTGCCCGCTCAGGGCCCACGGGCTGGCAGAAGGGCTCCGGTTCAGGGGGGACCCACTCTAGGGTGTGGGGGGTCACAGAGAGGGGCTGTTGGCACGGGGCGGGGGGGGGACGACGACGGCAAGGCTTGGGGGGTGGGGAGTGCCAGCCCGAGCGCTCCCTCACCGATGTGCTCTATCGTCTCCTTGATGACTTCGCACTCGATGGGCCAGCAAGGAGCAGGCAGGGGGCCCTGTGCCGAGGGGAGGGCAAAGAGAGCCCGGGGCTCCCCTGGGGACCCCCAGGGAACCGGCCTGCCCTGGCGGGGGGCCACCTCCAGCCCCCTGGGGGCTGCAAAGGGACAGAGGGGCACTGGTGTGCTCCCAGCTCCAACCACCAGTAGGAAAACCCCAGACTGGGAGGGTTGGGGTGGTGACCCCCCCACCCTTAAAGCAGGGACAGGGAGAGATCCCCCCCCACCCCCCCAGTTCTCCCTGGCAGGAGGCAGCAGCTCCAGGCCCCAGGTTGCGGGGGGGTATTTGGGGGGGGCTGTGGGGTCTCACTCACAGCTCAGCTCCAGCCCGGGACCCCGCATGCCAGGGGGGTGGGTGCTGTCCATGCTGGGTGCTGCAAGGGGGGGCTGCTCAGAGAGGCCCCCCTGGGACACGGCGCTCTCCCGGCCTGGGGGAGAGCAGTGCTGCAGCCCCAAAGGCTGAGGAGGGGGGGACAGGAAATGGGGGGGGATCCCCAGAGCCAGAACTCACCTTGGAAGTAGCCGTAGTAGCGCAGGTGGCTGCGCATGAAGCTGTCGTAGGGCGCTGGGGGGAGCAGCCCCCCCCCAAAACTCCCCCCCAGTCCTGTCCCTCCCTCCCCAACCCCTGTACTGGGGGGCCCCCAGCGCTGCATGGCTGCGAGAGCCGGCGGAGTCCTGGCAGTGCCAGGGAGCTGCGATGCGGTCGCTGAGCGACCGGGGAGGGACGGGGCGGTCCCGGAGCAGAGCTGGGAAAGGAGCCAGAGGAATTTGGGTATCCTGGGGGATACGCAGCGGAGGGGGGGGCCACAAAGGGCCCCCAAGACCTCAGCCCCCACCAGCGCACATATTGGCCCCTAATGGCCCCCCCCTCAACCAGACCCCCACATCCCAAACTGCTACAATTTATTGAACAACGGTCAAGTGAAGGGCTCTGAACTGTACATCTGTAAAAAAAAAAAAAAAAAAAAAAAAAAAGAAAGAAAAAAAAAATAAAAAGGAAAAAAAAAAAAAAAGCAGCGCGCAGTTCATGTGCTTGAGGCGGTTTTCCTCCGCTTCAGCCGCGCTCGCCAGTCCTCCGGCAGCGCCTCGAAGTTGGCGTTCCTCTCCGCCATGCCACTGCGGGGACAAAGTGGGGTGTCAGCGCCCGGGGGGGGCACAAGGTGACAGTCCCCACCTGCCCCCCCGGGTGCTGCGGAGATGCAGATCCCCACTCTCTGGCTTGACAGGGGCCAAGGAGACGTTTGTGTGTCCCCTCCCCGCTCAGGACGCGCTGGCGGGGCAGCCCCTGGGGTGGGGGGAGGGGGTTTGTACCTCATCAGCTGCTGCTGCTTCCACTCCTCGATGCGCCGCTGGGCCGTGGTTTCCCGATCCTCCTCGCTGGAGCTGGAGTTCTCCTCCTCGTCCAGCTCCCGCTGGATGCTCTGCCACTTCTTCACCAGCGATGGCATCTTCGTCTTGCCCTTTTTACCCTGCACCGCAAACACCAAAAAACCCGGCGGTGAGGCGACGGGAGGGCGGCCGGCACAAGGCACCGGTGCGGTTGTTTCCCCCCCTGCTTACCTTATCCTTCCGCCCCTTCCTTGGTTTCTCCTTCTCCGGCGGCGGCGGCGCTTTGGGGGTGGGCGGCGGGGGCGTTTGGGGGGGCGGCGGGGGCGGCGGCTGGTCGGCGGTGGGCAGAGCTCCCCGCGCCGGGGCCGGTTGCGCGGTGGGAGCGGGGAGGCCGACGGGGGCGGCGCACTCCGAGTAGCTCATGGCGGAAGGCGCGGCGGGCGCCGTCACGCCCAGGTAACCCGACTGCAGACCCAGCGCGGCGGGTTGAGGGCCGGCGTGGCCAGGAGCCAGGCGGAGGTTGGGACGGCCCTGGAGCTCGCCCTGCAGCCGCTGGCGTGGCCTCAGGGAGGCGAGCGGCACGGCGGTTGGCTGGTACTTGCCGGCGGCCAGCAAGGGCTGGCTGTAGATGACGGGGCAGCTGCCGATGGTGGCGGCGCGTTGCATCAGCCCCGGGCTCATCTCCACGGCTTTTCTCTTCTGAGGTTTGGCGGCGAGCAGCGGCGCCGGGCTCGGCTCGACAGCACCCTGGGGAAGAGCGCGCCGAGGTGAGCGCCGAACCGGGCAGTGTCCCTGCCACGCGCACCGGGACCGGCCGAGCCGCGGCACCACCGCTCACCTGGCTGCTGCTGGCAGCTGGGCGTGGGAGAGGCTTCAGGGGAGCATCTTCCTCCGTTCCCGGGGCAGGCGGCTCCTCGCCCCCCTCATCTTCCATCTCCACTTCCTGGATCTCGCCGTCTTCTCCAGGCGGCGGGGGTGGCGGTGGGGGTGGCGGCGGTGAGTCCGGGGGAGGCGGAGGCGGCGGAGGCATTTCCAAAGGCAAAGGAGGTTGGAGGACCGGGACAGAGGACTGAAGCAGAGTCCAAAATGGAGTGAGCGGCATGAGAGACGTAGCAGGAACTTGGCCTGAGAAGGATTCTTTACAAAGGGAGCCTGAAGAATACATATTGACACGGGCTTGAAAACCCACGCTACGGACCGCGCTGCCTGCTCCTGCCCTCTGCCTCCCTGCCAGGCCCTGCCCGGGAGCGGGGCAGGCAGAGCTCAGGCCACGGGCTCGACCCACGAGCTGCGCTGCCGCCGCCTTCCCCTGCCCCGCCAGGCCACCTAAAACCAATGGGGACAGCTCGGGAGCGGTGCTTGTCCCCCCCACAACACCCCGCTGCAGGGCTGGGACCCCCCTCCCCAAAACCGCGGTGGCCCCCGCCTTTTGCCGTACCTGCGGAGCGCTCGGCGGGGTCCCCGGCGCGCTCTCCTTTGTCTTTTGGAGGTGGTTTAGGAGGACCGTCGGCTTTTCTGGCGGTGGTCCGCTGTCCCTCCTCTTCGTCCTCCCCGTCGGGGAACTCCCATTGCGACTCTCCTGAGCGCTCGTTAACATAGAAATAGCGTCTATGCTCCCTAAATCACAAGAAAGAGAAGGAGGCTTTAGATTCCCTCCCCCGCCACCGACACTCCGAGGCGGGCCTGCCCACGACAGCGGTGCGCTCTCGCAGGGAAGACCCTCCGCAGCAGGGCTGCCGCTCTCCCAAACGCAACAAACAACTTTGAGGACAGAGGCAGGAGAGAACCCGAGCCGGCTCGCTCAAAGCTATTTGCATTGCTGGCTGCGTGAACGTCGCCCTGAGCCCCCCGCTCCGAGGGAGGGGAGGGCTGAGAAAGCAGGCCAGCGCGCAGCCGAGCGACGTCTCGCTAGCATCGGGACTTTCAGCCGCCGCCTTGGCTGAAAGTCGCCCTCCGAGAAGAGGCACCGGGGAACAGCCCAATGGAGAGAAGCGGCTGCCCCCCTACCCCGTGGTGCGCGGAGGTCGCTTTTATGATACTCTTGGTGTCAAACACACAGTGAATGCTAGAGAGAGGGAGCGGATCTGGGAGCTGAAAAACAAAAGAGCAAAGATTTCAAACAAAGGAAAATTAATCAAGAAAGCCAAATAGACAAAGAAATGTTTGGGTCTGACCTGCTGGCAGGAGACAGAAATCTTGTTCTTCGTTCCGTCGATGAGTTGAAGTTTGTCCTTTGTCAGAGCTGTTGGTCAGAAGAGGTGATCCAGAGATCCTGCAAAGTTCACAGAGCTCTCGCATGCGCGACCCCCCAGGCCCGCCCTCCACAGCGCTTTACACTCGTAAGAGTGAAAACCAGCTCTGTCCGATCAGGGAATCAGCTCCGTCTCAAAGCACTGAGCACTCCGTTTGGATCCTCCAGTTTGGTGGTTGGCCCAAACTCTGCGAGTGCCGGTTGTTTCTCTGCCTGCCCAGCACTGCTAACAGAAGCTGCTCTCAGTCTCCGAGAGGGACGGCGCCACGTCGTCGGGTGGTGATGGTCACAAATCATGTCTGAGATGTCAGAGATGAAAGGTGAGAAAGGTAGGAGAGCGCGTACCTGTCCCAGTGGCAGGACCAGCCTTTAGGGGTGGCGTTTATTTCGTATTGTTTTAGCTGTTCGGCTGCGTCTTGGAGTTTGCGTTTGAGGTAGTTTCCATTGAGAGCACCTTCTCGCCAGTCTGCAATGCGGGTCTAGAGGGCAAGAACCGGGGGAAGCCGTTGAGGGGGGCGGCAAGCGGCCCTCGGGACCAGGACTCGAGGTCCGGGAGGAAGACACCGCCCTCCGCGCAAAGCCATGCTCTCCCCCCGCCGGGGAAGGGCCCTGCAGCGGGCGGGTGGGCCGCGCGGTTGCGGTGCCGCCGCGGCCACGAGGTTTCACGCAGCACCGGCCCTCGGCGCTTGAACGGCGGACAGCATTTGAGCCGCTTCGGAACAGAAGGCTCGGTTACCTCTGTCTGCAACAGCAACATGTGGAAGTTGGAGATAGATTGTCTGTTGATGCCCAGGAACTCCAATTTACTAGTCAGAGTATTTGCCAGCTCTCCGATCTGAAACTGCCAGGGAGAAAGAGGAAGAGTAAAGAGCCGCCCTCCGGTAGTGGCACCGGGCGGCTGCGGCCCCGCGGCTTGAGGCCTTCCCCGGCAAGCAAGACTTGGGACCGCCCGCGGCCCCAGGACGGGCCACCCTGCACGGGAGCGCCTCTCACCCCTTCCTTCCTTCACAGCCCCGCTACTCCTGCGCCCCAGGGAGGGGGTCGGTGTGGGGCGGCAGCACGAGACATCCCTCTGTAGCTGCAGGAGGTGCCAGCGAACCCCAAGTCCTTGACCTAGTCCCAGCCATGGCCCCTGGTGCCGTCACCGCTCTGCCCCAACCTCAGGAGGGTACGGGCCCTGGAGCAATCGCCAGGGCAGGAAGTGTTAAATCTAATACTTCCACCCTTTCCCAAAGGAAATGGGCCAGGATAGAATTTCAGGCTTTGTCAATGTTGCTTTCCGGTGGAACTAACTGGAAAGCACCGGAGAGGGGCAGCAGCTCCAGATTTACTCTGGAGCAGAGACAGGATCTACGTTAAAATTCAGGCCAGCCCGCAGCAATCCTCAACCCCAGTGTCCTGCGGGAGCGAAACCGCCAAGCAGGACACGGCCCAGGGACACGGGCCTCCCTCCCCCGCTCTGTCTCAGCCCCCCGACTAGGGGGAGCTGCGTGACAGCAGCTACAAGCCAGAAAGCAATCAAGAGCAGGAACGGGCTTTGGTGCCTGCAAGCGGCATCACAATTGCTTTAAGGAGGGCTCTGAAAATGTCTTTTTTTTTCCTTCACTCTTCAGAAAATGGCGTTGGAAGGTCCCCAAAGCCGACAACGCGGCGTCTGTCTCCAGAGAGGGGGGGGACGGGCCAGACAGACATGGTCTGATTTTTTTCGAGCACTTCTCTAGTTTCTCGGATTTCTCTAATCCGAGGCAGGGAAATGAATTCCCGCGTTAACGCGGCTACGGAGAAGCCAGGGAAGCTCCCACGGCAGAGGGTGACTTCGCAGCGGAGGAGCCGGCGGATCTCCTGCAAACCAGAGAGCTGGCAGAAGAGAGATTACCCCGAACCGATGAAGCGAACGGTATCGATTACCCGAGGAGACGGCATTCCTCCAACAGCTCTAAGGGGATCCTGCATGGGAAAGCACCACGCTACAGCACACAGTCCGTCACAGAGCAGCACCAGTACCAGGAGAAGAGGGGACAGCAAACGTGACAGCTTAAAAGGCTTTCTGCAGCCACCTGGGGCACGGCAGTTGTTTTTTTTTTGTTTTGGTGTTTTTTTTTTTGTTTTGTTTTTTGTTTTTTTTTTTAAATAAATTAAAAAACTCAGGCAAGCCTCACGTAGTTGCTCTACTGAGGG